ATCAGATGCTGTAGGTACCGTGTATCGTGAAAAATACTGGATCCGATGCTGTAGATAATGTGTACAGATGTGAAAAATACTGGATCAGATACTTTAAATACCGTGTACAGATTTGAAAAATACTCGATCAGATGCTTTAGATACCGTGTGCAGATGTGAAAAATACTGGATCAGATGCTGTAGGTACCGTGTGCAGATGTAAAAAAGTAATGGATCAGATGGTATAGGTACCGTGTGCGGATGTAAAAAATACTGGATCAGATGCTGTAGATACCGTGTGCAGATGTGAAAAATACTGGATCAGATGTTGTAGGTTCCGTGTGCAGATGTCAAAAATACTGGATCAGATGCTGTAGGTACCGTGTGCAGATGTCAAAAATACTGGATCAGATGCTTTAGATACCGTGTGCAGATATGAAAAATACTGGATCAGATGCTGTAGATAATGTTTGCAGATGTGAGAAATACTGTATCAGATGCTGTATTTACCGTGTATCGTGAAAAATACTGGATCAGATGCTGTAAGTACCGTGTGCAGATGTGAAAAATACTGGATCAGATGCTTTAGATAATGTGTGCAGATGAGAAAAATACTGGATCAGATGCTGTAGGTACCGTGTGCAGATGTGAAAAATACTGGATCAGATGCTGTAGGTACCGTGTGCAGATGTCTAAAATACTGGATCAGATGCTGTATTTACCGTGTATCGTGAAAAATACTGGATCAGATGCTATAGGTACCGTGTGCGGATGTGAAAATTACTGGTTCATATGCTGTTGGTACCGTGTGCGGATGTGAAAAATACTGGATCAGACACTTTAGATACCGTGTGCAGATGTGAAAAATACTGTATCAGATGCTGTAAGTACCGTGTGCAGATGTGAAAAATACTGTATCAGATGCTGTTAGTACCGTGTGCAGATGTGAAAAATACTGGATCAGATGTTGTAGGTACCGTGTGCAGATGTCAAAAATACTGGATCAGATGCTTTAGATACCGTGTGCAGATGTGGAAAAATACTGGATCAGATGTTTTAGATACCGTGTGCAGATGTGAAAAATACTGGATCAGATGCTTTAGATACCGTGTGCAGATGTGAAAAATACAGGGTCAGATACTTTAAATACCGTGTGCAGATGTGGAAAAATACTGGATCAGATGCTGTAGGTGCCGTGTGCGGATGTGAAAAATACTGGATCAGATACTTTAAATACCGTGTGCAGATGTGAAAAATACTGTATCAGATGCTGTAAGTACTGTGTGCAGATGTAAAAAATACTGTATCAGATGCTGCTGGTTCCGTGAACGGGTATGAATGACACTGAATGACACTGGAGTTGATGTGAAATATTCCTGAAGTGTTCGGCTTTTGTTAACGTTACTAAGAAATGACTATGGTGAGTAAACACTTCGTATTATAGAAAAGTAAAGCAAATGTGTTCCGGTTGATGTTAGATTTTGTAGGTTGGTAAGCTTTGCTGGTAGTTTTTTTAAACTCCCAACGCTTGCCGTAACCCTGTTATCAGTTACGTGCCGTATACACTCGTGCTTGACCTCTTAAAATTATCCATATATGCAAATGTACAATTAGTCGTGTTTACAGGGAAGTGTTTTGGCCACATTTGATATTTAGATTTCCAATTCCTTCGAGGACACAATGGCACACTTTTAAATAGTTACATCATTTGTAAAGTCAGTTGTTAGTAAAAAGTGTATCACCTTGTGCCATTTGCACAATATGAACAAAGAGAATACCGACATGTCAAAAGAATTTTTATTCAAACTCCTGATAGATGAAACTAAAGAAAGACGCACAGACTGAAATGTACAAGGAAAAATAAGACTAAGTGTTCCAGAAGGGTGAGTGTCTTTTGCTTCGTCGACGATACCTGCCATTTAAGTCTTGGAAATCAAACCGAAGTAAACCCGGGGGGCTTTCTGAATTATTCCCAAACAGTTTTTGATGCAAATATTATTTCATTATTTTCGATGAATTTATTTATTTTACATTCACCTTAGGATTAGACGTGGGAACAACGCCTGTTACATGGACCATAAGAACTCTTTCTGTGTGGCGTTTTCTTACATAAAATCACTTCTCATCCTGTAATATAAGTTACACACGTAAGATCCTGAGTCATTTTCAGTGACCAACAAGTCATGCAATGTATATTGCGTGTTTTATTAATACACGGGTGCAGGTTTCTCAGGAATTTAGCTTAACAATTTTTTTCTTTTTCAATGCAATGTCTGTGTCACATTCACTACCTTACGCCCAGATGTTTAATTGAGCAACTCATAGGTAGATAGGGGGCTAGTTTGATCGCTACCGACTTGAAGTATTACCCGAGTCTACTGAACCTATTCACAGCTGACAGATATCGGGTATGGCTATGTTATATTGGATTACGGGATACAAGTAGGAGTTCACCTGTTAGATTTCTACATCTTAGGTCCATATAATCACCAAGTCCTAGAAGGACAACCCATCTATCTTATTCATTTTTTTGGCATATATATATCCTTCATATATATATTATCAGGAGTTTGTTTCTAAGTTTTTGGTCATAGTCTCCAAGATCTCTGACTGACATGAATGTTAATCTGACACCTCTTTAGATCTTTATCAAACAGGAAGTGAATGGCTTTTGTTCACCAGCATGATGTTTCACCCTGCTACAATATATCATACGACGACAATACTTAACAACATGCTTGTATCGCGTCATGGAAGACCTGTCATCAGACGCAAAGAGGGAACAAATGTCTTTAATATTCATGAAAAATGGCACGGTTCAGTATACACACGCATCTTTCAAAGTTATCCTAAATAGAAAATTATGAAATTCTCTGGAATTCGCACCTTTTCTTGTTTTTCTGATGAATTTTAATTTTTCTCGGTCAGTTCCTGCGATTTTCAACTCAGGCCCTTCAGCATAACTGTCCAAGAAGAGCACCTTTATGATATTCATTTTAATCAATTATATGGCTCTACTGTTATATATATTTGTATTGAAAGATGTTCATCACATGTGTAAAATTAAACTCGAATCGCACATTGGGTGATTTGTAAACCACGTCACGAGACTTAAACCTAGTCTAGTGTATCAAAGATTTATGGTGTATTTTTTTTAAAGATAATCAAAGTATTTTAATGATATTCTCGAAATTAAAGATATGTTTCATGAAAAAGAACAAAGAAGGGAAAACAAACATAGAGTTAAATGGTACTGATGCGAGCCAGGATCAATTTAGTTCATTTTATGTTACCAAGTGAACAGTCTAAGGGCAGATACAGATTCAATGAGGGTAAACTTAACATGTTATATACAGAAGTACAATGAGGATAAACGTAACATGTTATATACAGAAGTACAATGAGGGCAACTTAACATGTTATATACAGAAGTACAATGAGGGCAACTTAACATGTTATATACAGAAGTACAATGACGGCAACTTAACATGTTTATATACAGAAGTACAATGAGGGCAACTTAACATGTTATATACAGAAGTACAATGAGGGTAAACTTAACATGTTATATACAGAAGTAAAATGACGGCAACTTAACATGTTATATACAGAAGTACAATGAGGGTTAACAAAACATGTTATATACAGAAGTACAATGAGGGCAACTTAACATGTTATATACAGAAGTACAATGAGGGCAACTTAACATGTTATATACAGAAGTACAATGAGGGCAACTTAACATGTTATATACAGAAGTACAATGAGGGTTAACAAAACATGTTATATACAGAAGTACAATGAGGGCAACTTAACATGTTATATACAGAAGAACAATGAGGGCAACTTAACATGTTATATACAGAAGTACAATGAGGGTTAACAAAACATGTTATATACAGAAGTACAAGGACGGCAACTTAACATGTTATATACAGAAGTACAATGAGGGTTAACAAAACATGTTATATACAGAAGTACAATAAGGGGAACTTAACATGTTATATACAGAAGAACAATGAGGGCAACTTAACATGTTATATACAGAAGTACAATGAGGGTTAACAAAACATGTTATATACAGAAGTACAATGACGGCAACTTAACATGTTATATACAGAAGTACAATCAGGGTTAACATAACATGTTATATACAGGAGTACAATGACGGCAACTTAACATGTTATATACAGGAGTAAAATGACGGCAACTTAACATGTTATATACAGAAGTACAATGAGGGCAACTTAACATGTTATATACAGAAGTACAATGAGGGCAACTTAACATGTTATATACAAAAGTACAATGAGGGTTAACAAAACATGTTATATACAGAAGTACAAGGACGGCAACTTAACATGTTATATACAGAAGTACAATCAGGGTTAACATAACATGTTATATACAGGAGTACAATGACGGCAACTTAACATGTTATATACAGGAGTAAAATGACAGCAACTTAACATGTTATATACAGAAGTACAATGAGGGTTAACTAAACATGTTATATACAGAAGTACAATGAGGGCAACTTAACATGTTATATACAGAAGTACAATGAGGGTAAACTTAACTTAACTTTAAATTTACAGGAGAGGTGGAATGTTAAGGAAAGTGAATTGTAAGTTAATATGAGTTGTCGAAGGTTACTAAGAATGATTTGTAAGTTTATAGGAATGGTCGGAGGTTACTCAAGATAACTGGTATGTTTACAGGATATGTCGAAGGTCAGTCAGATAACTGGTATGTTTACAGGATATGTCGAACGTCAGTCAGATAATTGGTATGTTTACAGGATATGTTGAAGACTACCCATAGTAGTTTACAGTTGTGGTCGATAGTTTTTTTCACGTATTGTATTTGTAGATACCATCAGAGAAAACAATGGGAAGCATGTGGTAATAGCCGAATGAAGCGGTATATCCTCAATCAGCACGCATTTAATCAGCAAACTGGTTCTTCTCAACATTAAAAGGACTATGACACTGACATGATAGCAGTATAGGCAAGTAAAGATGGACACTGCTGGTAAGTATGTACTGGTACATTTCAGCAGATCAAGGTCACCCGATTGGCGGGAAGGTGAGTATGGTAAGTATCTATTTTAAACCTATACTTTATTTAGATTTTATGTTTAACACTAATTGAGCAATTGTATTAATTATTGTTTTTTTTTCAGACGAATCGACCATATCAACGACCGCACAGACAACGGGAATTACAGACCCTACAACTACAACTACAGACCCTACAACTACAATTACAGACCCTACAACTACAACTACAGAACCTACAACTACAGAACCTACAACTACAGACCCTACAACTACAACTACAGAACCTACAACTACAGAACCTACAACTACAACTACAGAACCTACAACTACAACTACAGAACCTACAACTACAGACCCTACAACTACAACTACAGAACCTACAACTATAGACCCTACAACTACAACTACAGAACCTACAACTACAGAACCTACAACTACAGAACCTACAACTACAACTACAGAACCTACAACTACAACTATAGACCCTACAACTACAACTACATACCCTACAACTACAGAACCTACAACTACAGACCCTACAACTACAATTACAGACCCTACAACTACAACTACAGAACCTACAACTACAGAACCTACAACTACAGACCCTACAACTACAACTACAGAACCTACAACCACCACTACCACTCCCACAACCACCACTACTACTCCCACAACCACCACTACCAATCCCACAACCACCACTACTACACCTACAACCACCACTACCACTCCCATTACCACCATTACTACACCTACAACCACCACTACCACTCCCACAACCACCACTACTACACCTACAACCACCACTACCACTCCCACAACCACCACTATTACACCTACAACCACCACTACCACTCCCACAACCACCACTACTACACCTACAACCACCACTACCACTCCAACAACCACCACTACTACACCTACAACCACCACTACCACACCCACAACCACCACTTCCACTCCCACAACCACCACTACCACTCCCACAACCACCACTACCACTCCCACAACCACCATTAATACACCTACAACCACCACTACCACTCCCACAACCACCACTACTACACCTACAACCACCACTACCACTCCCACAACCACCACTACTACACCTACAACCACCACTACCACTCCCACAACCACCACTACTACACCTACAACCACCACTACCACACCCACAACCACCACTTCCACTCCCACAACCACCACTACCACTCCCACAACCACCACTACCACTCCCACAACCACTACCACACCAACTACTACAACAACGACAGACAATCCAGGTGAGTTAATTTCATCTTTATACGTTTAAAGTTCTGCTACAACGGACAAGTAGAAGAAAGAATGCTGATGTATTTCTTCCCTGAGGAGCCGGTCGACGGACTATACTTCTTATAGGTTACTCTCTATGTAAGTATTTATAATGATGACGATACTGTGATGATAAATGCCATAAATATATTTTTCATCCTGTTCTTTTTCAGTCGCCTCAACAGTATCCTCAGTATTAACAAACATTAAAATACACTTTAACACAACAATTACCACTACATCTACACCACGTCCTGCTATTACTACACAACATACAACCATCACCGCCTATGCAACAACCTCTTCCACACCTACCAATTTCACACCTACGATCACCACTTCCAAGGCTACAACAAACCTTTCAACACTTAAAGCTAAAAACAAGACATAGAAGGTCATGAACAGACAGGGGCTTAGAATCAAAGTATAGAAGGTCATGAACAGACAGGGGCCTAGAAACAAACTATAGAAGGTCAGGTAAAGACAGAGGCCTAGAAACAAACTATAGAAGGTCAGGTAAAGACAGGGGACTAGAAACAAAGTATAGAAGGTCAGGTAAAGACAGTGGACTAGAAACAAACTATAGAAGGTCATGAAGAGACAGGGGCCTAGAAAACAAACTATAGAAGGTCAGGTAAAGACAGGGGACTAGAAACAAAGTATAGAAGGTCAGGTAAAAACAGGGGACTAGAAACAAAGTATAGAAGGTCAGGTAAAGACAGGGGACTAGAAACAAAGTATAGAAGGTCAGGTAAAGACAGTGGACTAGAAACAAAGTATAGAAGGTCAGGTAAAGACAGGGGCCTAGAAAACAAAGTATAGAAGGTCAGGTAAAGACAGGGGACTAGAAACAAAGTATAGAAGGTCAGGTAAAGACAGGGGACTAGAAACAATGTATAGAAGGTCAGGTAATGACAGGGGACTAGAAACAAAGTATAGAAGGTCAGGTAAAGACAGAGGCCTAGAAACAAAGTATAGAAGGTCAGGTAAAGACAGAGAACTAGAAACAAAGTATAGAAGGTCATGTACAGACAGTGGACTAGAAACAAAGTATAGAAGGTCAGGTAAAGACAGTGGACTAGAAACAAAGTATAGAAGGTCAGGTAAAGACAGGGGACTAGAAACAAAGTATAGAAGGTCAGGTAAAGACAGGGGACTAGAAACAAAGTATAGAAGGTCAGGTAAAGACAGAGGCCTAGAAACAAACTATAGAAGGTCATGAACAGACAGGGGCCTAGAAAACAAACTATAGAAGGTCAGGTAAAGACAGGGGACTAGAAACAAACTATAGAAGGTCAGGTAAAGACAGGGGACTAGAAACAAAGTATAGAAGGTCAGGTAAAGAGAGTGGACTAGAAACAAACTATAGAAGGTCAGGTAAAGACAGGGGACTAGAAACAAACTATAGAAGGTCATGTACAGACAGTGGACTAGAAACAAAGTATAGAAGGTCAGGTAAAGACAGTGGACTAGAAACAAAGTATAGATGGTCAGGTAAAGACAGGGGACTAGGAACAAAGTATAGAAGGCCAGTTAAAGACAGGGGACTAGAAACAAAGTATAGAAGGTCAGGTAAAAACAGTGGACTAGAAACAAAGTATAGAAGGTCATGTACAGACAGGGGCCTAGAAAACAAAGTATAGAAGGTCAGGTAAAGACAGTGGACTAGAAACAAACTATAGGAGGTCAGGTAAAGACAGTGGACTAGAAACAAAGTATAGAAGGTCAGGTAAAGACAGGGGACTAGGAACAAAGTATAGAAGGCCAGTTAAAGACAGGGGACTAGGAACAAAGTATAGAAGGCCAGTTAAAGACAGGGGACTAGAAACAAAGTATAGAAGGTCAGGTAAAGACAGTGGACTAGAAACAAAGTATAGAAGGTCATGTACAGACAGGGGCCTAGAAAACAAAGTATAGAAGGTCAGGTAAAGACAGTGGACTAGAAACAAACTATAGGAGGTCAGGTAAAGACAGTGGACTAGAAACAAAGTATAGAAGGTCAGGTAAAGACAGTGGACTAGAAACAAAGTATAGAAGGTCAGGTAAAGACAGTGGACTAGAAACAAAGTATAGAAGGTCAGGTAAAGACAGTGGACTAGAAACAAACTATAGAAGGTCAGGTAAAGACAGGGGACTAGAAACAAAGTATAGAAGGTCATGTACAGACAGTGGACTAGAAACAAAGTATAGAAGGTCAGGTAAAGACAGTGGACTAGAAACAAAGTATAGAAGGTCAGGTAAAGACAGTGGACTAGAAACAAAGTATAGAAGGTCAGGTAAAGACAGGGGACTAGAAACAAAGTATAGATGGTCAGGTAAAGACAGGGGACTAGAAACAAAGTATAGAAGGCCAGTTAAAGACAGGGGACTAGAAACAAAGTATAGAAGGTCAGGTAAAGACAGTGGACTAGAAACAAAGTATAGATGGTCAGGTAAAGACAGGGGACTAGAAACAAAGCATAGAAGGCCAGTTAAAGACAGGGGACTAGAAACAAAGTATAGAAGGTCATGTACAGACAGTGGACTAGAAACAAAGTATAGAAGGTCAGGTAAAGACAGTGGACTAGAAACAAAGTATAGAAGGTCAGGTAAAGACAGTGGACTAGAAACAAAGTATAGAAGGTCAGGTAAAGACAGTGGACTAGAAAAAAACTATAGAAGGTCAGGTAAAGACAGGGGACTAGAAACAAAGTATAAAAGGTCATGTACAGACAGTGGACTAGAAACAAAGTATAGAAGGTCAGGTAAAGATAGTGGACTAGAAACAAAGTATAGAAGGTCAGGTAAAGACAGGGGACTAGAAACAAAGTATAGAAGGTCAGGTAAAGACAGGGGCCTAGAAACAAAGTATAGAAGGTCAGTTAAAGACAGGGGCCTAGAAACAAAGTATAAAAGGTCGTGTACAGACAGGGGTCTAGAAACAAAGTACAGAAGGTCATTTACAGACAGGGGCCTAGAAACAAAGTATAGCAGGCCATGTACAGACAGGGGCCTAGAAACAAAGAATAAAATGTCATGTACAAACAGTGGCCTTTAAAATTAAGTATGAAAGGTCATATACAGAGAATGGCCTAGTAAATAAAGTATTGAAGGCCATGCATAAAGAGGGACCTACCAAACAACTTGTGGAATGACATGTACAGACAGGGGCCTTGGAAATAATGTATGAACAGAGTAACACTCGTTAGGGGTTTGTGTCACTTGTTACATTTTGATATTGTGAAATGATGAAACACCAAGCGCTTAATGTGGCTTTATAATGCTTTGTCAGTGTTTCGGTAAGTATTATGCATGTTTTAATTTGATTGTCAGATCTTCAATTTTATATGCTTTCTCACTGTTTACTGGGTATTATAACATTATGCTTTCTCGGTGTTTTTTTTATCTTGTATTGCCAGTGTTAACATGTGAATAGCTAGCTGCTCATGTTTTTCGTTTCAATCTACATTTCAGTGTTCAATGTTCATTCTATATCATTATGGTGTCTTCTCGGTGTCAATTGCGATTTTTTTTTAAATGTTTTAATGCGCTGTATCGATGTTTCAGTGTTCAATATAAACGTTTCAGTGTTCAATATGAATATTTCAATGAGCCTTATTAATGTTTCAGTGTACCATATCCATGTTACAATGTGTCAGATCCATGTTTCAATGTGTCATATCCATGTTTCAATGTGTCATATCTATGTTTCAGTGTGTCATATCCATGTTTCAATGTGTCATATCTATGTTTAAATATGCGACACCAATGTTTCAGTGTATCAGATCCATGTTTCAATGTGTCATATCCATATTTCAATGTGTCATATCCATATTTCAATGTGTCATATCCATGTTTCAATGTGTCATATCTATGTTTAAATATGCGACACCAATGTATATGTGTGCCATATCCATGTTTCAATGTTTCATATCCATGTTTCAATGTGTCATATCTATGTTTAAATGTGCGACACCAATGTTTAAGTGTGCCATATCCATGTTTCAATGTGTCATATCCATGTTTCAATGTGTCATATCTATGTTTAAATGTGCGACACCAATGTATATGTGTGCCATATCCATGTTTCAATGTGTCATATCCATGTTTCAATGTGTCATATCTATGTTTAGATATGCGACACCAATGTTTAAGTGTGCCATATCCATGTTTCAATGTATGTCCATGTTTCAATGTATCAGATCCATGTTTCAATGTGTCATATCCATGTTTCAATGTGTCATATCCATGTTTCAATGTGTCATATCTATGTTTAAATGTGCGACACCAATGTATATGTGTGCCATATCCATGTTTCAATGTATCAGATCCATGTTTCAATGTGTCATATCCATGTTTCAATGTGTCATATCTATGTTTAGATATGCGACACCAATGTTTAAGTGTGCCATATCCATGTTTCAATGTATCAGATCCATGTTTCAATGTGTCATATCCATGTTTCAATGTGTCATATCCATGTTTCAATGTGTCATATCCATGTTTCAATGTGTCATATCTATGTTTAAATGTGCGACACCAATGTATATGTGTGCCATATCCATGTTTCAATGTGCCAGATCCATGTTTCAATGTGTCATATCCATGTTTCAATGTGCGACACCAATGTTTCAGTGTGTCATATCAATGTTTCAGTGTGCCATATCAATGTTTCAATGTGTCATATCCATGTGTCAATGAGCATTATAAATGTTTCATTGTGTCATTTGAATGTTTCTGTGTGGCATAAAATGTTTCTATGTGTCATTTTAATGGACATTTCAAATGTTCAGTGTATCATATAAATGTTTCAGTGTGTCATTTCAATGTTTCAGTGTGTCATATCAATGTTTCAGTGTGTCATTTCAATGTTCAGTGTGTCATTTCAATGTTTCAGTGTGTCATATCAATGTTTCAGTGTGTCAAATGTTTCAATGTGTCATTTCAATGTTTCAGTGTGTCATAACAATGTTTTAGTGTGTCATATCAATGTTTCAGTGTGTCAAATGTTTCAGTGTGTCATATCAATGTTTCAGTGTGTCATATCCATGTTTCAATGTGTCATATCCATGTTTCAATGTGCGACACCAATGTTTAAGTGTGCCATACCCATGTTTAAGTGTGCCATATCCATGTTTCAATGTGCCATATCCATGTTTAAGTGTGCCATACCCATGCGTAAGTGTGCGATATCCATGTTTCAATGTATCAGATCCAGGTTTTAATGTGTCAGATCCATGTTTCAATGTGTCATATCCATATTTCAATGTGTCATATCCATGTTTCAATGTGTCATATCCATGTTTCAATGTGCGACACCAATGTTTAAGTGTGTCATATCAATGTTTCAGTGTGTCATTTCAATGTTTCAGTGTGTCATTTCAATGTGTCATATCCATGTGTCAATGAGCCTTATAAATGTTTCATTGTGTCATTTGAATGTTTCTGTGTGGCATAAAATGTTTCTATGTGTCATTTTAATGGACATTTCAAATGTTCAGTGTATCATATAAATGTTTCAGTGTGTCATTTCAATGTTTCAGTGTGTCATATCAATGTTTCAGTGTGTCATTTCAATGTTCAGTGTGTCATTTCAATGTTTCAATGTGTCATATCAATGTTTCAGTGTGTCAAATGTTTCAGTGTGTCATTTCAATGTTTCAGTGTGTCATTTCAATGTTTTAGTGTGTCATATCAATGTTTCAGTGTGTCAAATGTTTCAGTGTGTCATATCAATGTTTCAGTGTGTCATTTCAATGTTTCAGTGTGTCATATCAATGTTTCAGTGTGTCATATCAATGTTTCAATGTGTCATATCCATGTTTCAATGTGCGACACCAATGTTTAAGTGTGCCATACCCATGTTTAAGTGTGCCATATCCATGTTTCAATGTGCCATATCCATGTTTCAATATGTCATATCCATATTTCAATGTGTCATATCCATGTTTCAATGTGTCATATCCATGTTTCAATGTGCGACACCAATGTTTAAGTGTGTCATATCAATGTTTCAGTGTGTCATTTCAATGTTTCAGTGTGTCATATCAATGTTTCAGTGTGTCATTTCAATGTTTCAGTGTGTCATATCAATGTTTCAGTGTGTCATATCAATGTTTCAATGTGTCATATCCATGTTTCAATGTGCGACACCAATGTTTAAGTGTGCCATACCCATGTTTAAGTGTGCCATATCCATGTTTCAATGTGTCATATCCATGTTTCAATGTGTCATATCCATGTTTCAATGTGCGACACCAATGTTTAAGTGTGTCATATCAATGTTTCAGTGTGTCATTTCAATGTTTCAGTGTCATATCAATGTTTCAGTGTGTCATTTGAATGTTTCTGTGTGGCATAAAATGTTTCAGTGTGTCATATTAATGGACATTTCAAATGTTCAGTGTATCATATCAATGTTTCAGTGTGTCATATCAATGTTTCAGTGTGTGATATCAATGTTTCAGTGTCATAACAATGTTTCAGTGTGTCATTTCAATGTTTCAGTGTGTCATATCCATGTGTCAATGAGCCTTATAAATGTTTCATTGTGTCATTTGAATGTTTCTGTGTGGCATAAAATGTTTCTATGTGTCATTTTAATGGACATTTCAAATGTTCAGTGTATCATATAAATGTTTCAGTGTGTCATTTCAATGTTTCAGTGTGTCATATCAATGTTTCAGTGTGTCATTTCAATGTTCAGTGTGTCATTTCAATGTTTCAGTGTGTCATATCAATGTTTCAGTGTGTCATATCAATGTTTCAGTGTGTCATTTCAATGTTTCAGTGTGTCATATCAATGTTTCAGTGTGTCATATCAATGTTTCAGTGTGTCATATCAATGTTTCAGTGTGTCATTTCAATGTTTCAGTGTGTCATATCAATGTTTCAGTGTGTCATATCAATGTTTCAGTGTGTCATATCAATGTTTCAGTGTGTCATATCAATGTTTCAATGTGTCATATTCATGTGTCAATGAGCCTTATAAATGTTTCATTGTGTCATTTGAATGTTTCTGTGTGGCATAAAATGTTTCTATGTGTCATTTTAATGGACATTTCAAATGTTCAGTGTATCATATAAATGTTTCAGTGTGTCATATCAATGTTTCAGTGTGTCATATCAATGTTTCAGTGTGTCATTTCAATGTTCAGTGTGTCATTTCAATGTTTCAATGTGTCATATCAATGTTTCAATGTGTCATATCCATGTGTCAGTGAGCCTTATAAATGTTTCATTGTGTCATTTGAATGTTTCTGTGTGGCATAAAATGTTTCTATGTGTCATTTTAATGGACATTTCAAATGTTCAGTGTATCATATAAATGTTTCAGTGTGTCATTTCAATGTTTCAGTGTGTCATATCAATGTTTCAGTGTGTCATTTCAATGTTCAGTGTGTCATTTCAATGTTTCAGTGTGTCATATCAATGTTTCAGTGTGTCATATCAATGTTTCAGTGTGTCATTTCAATGTTTCAGTGTGTCATATCAATGTTTCAGTGTGTCATATCAATGTTTCAGTGTGTCATTTCAATGTTTCAGTGTGTCATATCAATGTTTCAATGTGTCATATTCATGTGTCAATGAGCCTTATAAATGTTTCATTGTGTCATTTGAATGTTTCTGTGTGGCATAAAATGTTTCTATGTGTCATTTTAATGGACATTTCAAATGTTCAGTGTATCATATAAATGTTTCAGTGTGTCATTTCAATGTTTCAGTGTGTCATATCAATGTTTCAGTGTGTCATTTCAATGTTCAGTGTGTCATTTCAATGTTTCAATGTGTCATATCAATGTTTCAGTGTGTCAAATGTTTCAGTGTGTCATTTCAATGTTTCAGTGTGTCATTTCAATGTTTTAGTGTGTCATATCAATGTTTCAGTGTGTCAAATGTTTCAGTGTGTCATATCAATGTTTCAGTGTGTCATTTCAATGTTTCAGTGTGTCATATCAATGTTTCAGTGTGTCATATCAATGTTTCAATGTGTCATATCCATGTTTCAATGTGCGACACCAATGTTTAAGTGTGCCATACCCATGTTTAAGTGTGCCATATCCATGTTTCAATGTGCCATATCCATGTTTCAATGTGTCATATCCATGTTTCAATGTGTCATATCCATGTTTCAATGTGCGACACCAATGTTTAAGTGTGTCATATCAATGTTTCAGTGTGTCATTTCAATGTTTCAGTGTCATATCAATGTTTCAGTGTGTCATTTGAATGTTTCTGTGTGGCATAAAATGTTTCAGTGTGTCATATTAATGGACATTTCAAATGTTTCAGTGTGTCATTTCAATGTTTCAGTGTGTCATATCAATGTTTCAGTGTGTCATATCAATGTTTCAGTGTGTCATATAAATGTTTCAGTGTGTCATATCAATGTTTCAGTGTGTCATATCCATGTGTCAATGAGCCTTATAAATGTTTCATTGTGTCATTTGAATGTTTCTGTGTTGCATAAAATGTTTCTATGTGTCATTTTAATGGACATTTCAAATGTTCAGTGTATCATATAAATGTTTCAGTGTGTCATTTCAATGTTTCAGTGTGTCATATCAATGTTTCAGTGTGTCATTTCAATGTTCAGTGTGTCATTTCAATGTTTCAGTGTGTCATATCAATGTTTCAGTGTGTCATATCAATGTTTCAGTGTGTCATTTCAATGTTTCAGTGTGTCATATCAATGTTTCAGTGTGTCATATCAATGTTTCAGTGTGTCATATCAATGTTTCAGTGTGTCATATCAATGTTTCAGTGTGTCATATCAATGTTTCAGTGTGTCATATAAATGTTTCAGTGTGTCATATCAATGTTTCAGTGTGTCATATCAATGTTTCAATGTGTCATATTCATGTGTCAATGAGCCTTATAAATGTTTCATTGTGTCATTTGAATGTTTCTGTGTGGCATAAAATGTTTCTATGTGTCATTTTAATGGACATTTCAAATGTTCAGTGTATCATATAAATGTTTCAGTGTGTCATTTCAATGTTTCAGTGTGTCATATCAATGTTTCAGTGTGTCATTTCAATGTTCAGTGTGTCATTTCAATGTTTCAATGTGTCATATCAATGTTTCAATGTGTCATATCCATGTGTCAGTGAGCCTTATAAATGTTTCATTGTGTCATTTGAATGTTTCTGTGTGGCATAAAATGTTTCTATGTGTCATTTTAATGGACATTTCAAATGTTCAGTGTATCATATAAATGTTTCAGTGTGTCATTTCAATGTTTCAGTGTGTCATATCAATGTTTCAGTGTGTCATTTCAATGTTCAGTGTGTCATTTCAATGTTTCAGTGTGTCATATCAATGTTTCAGTGTGTCATATCAATGTTTCAGTGTGTCATTTCAATGTTTCAGTGTGTCATATCAATGTTTCAGTGTGTCATATCAATGTTTCAGTGTGTCATATAAATGTTTCAGTGTGTCATATCAATGTTTCAATGTGTCATATTCATGTGTCAATGAGCCTTATAAATGTTTCATTGTGTCATTTGAATGTTTCTGTGTGGCATAAAATGTTTCTATGTGTCATTTTAATGGACATTTCAAATGTTCAGTGTATCATATAAATGTTTCAGTGTGTCATTTCAATGTTTCAGTGTGTCATATCAATGTTTCAGTGTGTCATTTCAATGTTCAGTGTGTCATTTCAATGTTTCAATGTGTCATATCAATGTTTCAGTGTGTCATATCAATGTTTCAGTGTGTCATTTCAATGTTCAGTGTGTCATTTCAATGTTTCAATGTGTCATATCAATGTTTCAGTGTGTCAAATGTTTCAGTGTGTCATATCAATGTTTCAGTGTGTCATTTCAATGTTTCAGTGTGTCATATCAATGTTTCAGTGTGTCATATCAATGTTTCAATGTGTCATATCCATGTTTCAATGTGCGACACCAATGTTTAAGTGTGCCATACCCATGTTTAAGTGTGCCATATCCATGTTTCAATGTGCCATATCCATGTTTCAATATGTCATATCCATATTTCAATGTGTCATATCCATGTTTCAATGTGTCATATCCATGTTTCAATGTGCGACACCAATGTTTAAGTGTGTCATATCAATGTTTCAGTGTGTCATTTCAATGTTTCAGTGTGTCATATCAATGTTTCAGTGTGTCATTTGAATGTTTCTCTGTGGCATAAAATGTTTCTATGTGTCATATTAATGGACATTTCAAATGTTCAGTGTATCATATAAATGTTTCAGTGTGTCATTTCAATGTTTCAGTGTGTCATATCAATGTTTCAGTGTGTCATTTCAATGTTTCAGTGTGTCATATCAATGTTTCAGTGTGTCATTTCAATGTTTCAGTGTGTCATATCAATGTTTCAGTGTGTCATATCAATGTTTCAGTGTGTCATTTCAATGTTTCAGTGTGTCATATCAATGTTTCAGTGTGTCATATCAATGTTTCAGTGTGTCATATAAATGTTCAGTGTGTCATATCAATGTTTCAGTATGTCATATCAATGTTTCAGTGTGTCATATAAATGTTCAGTGTGTCATTTCATTTTTTCAGTGTGTCATATCAATGTTTCAGTGTGTCATATCAATGTTTCAGTGTGTTGTATCAATGTTTTAGCATGTCATTTCAATGTTTCAGTTTCAATGTTTCATATCAATGTTGCAATGTTTATTGTCTGCAATAAATTTAACATAGATATTTCTAATTCTGTGCATTTTTTAAAACTTAAAATATTTCTTATCTTTGTTTCCTTTTTCTGTTTATGATGATATAATATTAGTTTTGTGATTCCGTGTATTTTGTTTACTCAGTGTGTGTACGAGCATACTTCAATCATTTCTGTTTTTATTAAAGCTATATTAAACAACATCTTTTTCATTATTTCTTCAATGAAAGAGTAATGTTGGATTTTTCGTGCCGTTTGGTCAATTACCATCTGTAATTGATAATACATATGATGTCATGTTTCTGGTACTCTCTATGCATGTTAAATGTATTCTTTATATATCTAAATACTGGAGACCAATGCTGTTATCCCTGTTAATCTTTACCTGGGAATGTACTGTATAGATTATGTTTATTGTAATTACTGTAAATACATACGTTTACTATGGTCAGAAATTCCTCTTGGAGCTAACTGTACCTTCGCACCTTCTGCATGTAATGAATCAAATTCTGAGTGTGTCCAAGGAAAATGTGTCTGCGCGAATGATTTTTTCGACTCGAACGGACTTGCTGATGCTGGAAGCTGTCTCAGCGGTAAGTTTGAAAACATATAACACATGGAATGTACTGCTAATTTTACCAAACTCTCTCATTTGTTATATTGGTAAAAACATATTGACCTAGTTAAGCAGAAGATTTTGAAGGAATCAAAGCTATGTTGACCACCGAATAGGATTTCAGACTACAAAGAGAGTGTATTACCGTTCTACCGCTATGTTTATTTTTGTAAATATCTTTTTCCGATGATGAAAATCACGCAAAAAATGTGAATGTGCGATTTTCTCATTTTAAATAGTATTTGTAATATTTTTTATACGCACTACGAAAAAATAGATAAATAAATAAATAAAGAAAAATGGATTTCCTTTAAAGACGACTAAAATATGCTCACCAGTAGAAAACAATACAGTGAGTGAGTCGCATTCTCGTTTTGGCTTTAGCCGGAAAATAGTACATTATGGATATACGTCCACATTGAAGAAAAACAACCCTGAGATACTTTTTACTCTAGTCAGCTCTGCCAAAGCTACACCAGGCATAAATGATTATACTCATGAACATATATGATCAAAATACATGTGATGCGTCGTTCGAACGGGAAGACATGGACACCAAATGGCTAAAATTCATCGATCCTTTTACAGAGAATTTCGTGCCTTATCTACCATTTCAATGAATAATGTTAACTAGTCTTTGCTAATTCTTCATTGTTTAATGTTTGATGCATTCTTGCGTTTGATCACTTACATAATTCTAATTATCCTTTCGATTACGTTCTACAGAATTATCACTTGGTCAGACGTGTTCTCTTGGAATCCCTGACCAGTGTACGGATCCTAACGCTGATTGCAAGGTGAATGGTGGCATTGCCTCGTGTGGCTGTCAGCTGGCATTCTACAGGAGCCCTGCTGGCAAATGTGAAGAAAGTAAGATATTACTGTAAAGATATTTTTCATCCAGGGGAAATTGTTTTGAGATTATTTTACATCAAAGGTGATATAATCTTCTTATAATCAAGCTTGATAAGCTATCATTACTCAGTTTCTTTTTTTCGTAGCAAATGTTTACAATATGCATTTATACCTGTTTGCTCAATATTCTCTTCTCATTATGTGGAGTTGATGACAAAGGTTTGAATTCCTTAACCATAACCTTGTTGTGAATACTAGTTTAAATCATTTCAGCATATTGTCAGCGTATCTTATATATATATGAACCTTTATTATTTCAATACAGAAATAGCCATTGGGGCAAGCTGTGCTTCTGGTGTATCTAACCAATGCGCGGACGAAAATGCAGAATGTGGAGACACCAACACCTGTGATTGCAACGCCGGATTTTATATACTTGGAAGCAGTTGTGCTGCAGGTTGGTTCAATCAAGCTTGGAAAATTACTGATCTGGTATTCAGGTGTTCTAATCAGTGTGAAAGAGAGCTTTGCAAGTTATGTTCAAATGTCATTCATATTGTCTTCGTATACTCTTTAAAGAGAGTGCAATGGTTACACTTAACGTTTTGGTCGTTATATTCCAATTTGATCTAGCAGATTGTGATACTTATTCAGTGACAAAGCTGTCCTTTTACACGATGCAATGACGCCATCCCGATTGCTATAAAATTTATTGTAGTGGTCGTGCGAGTAATGGCTTTGACTACCCTGAAAACATTATCTCTGTTTATTAGGTATGTACAAAATATAATTTAATTGTAAATGATACAACGCCGGTAGATAACATTGTCATAATGTTTAATAATAAATGAGAAATAAAAATTAGCATAATTATGTAAATGGAGTTACTCTCTGCTTCATCTGCACGTGTAAATGAATCAGCTGTTTTGGTCATTGTTAACAGAACTGGAACTTGGTGACACGTGTAACAATGTTGATGGTGAATGCGGAACGGCCGATTCTGAGTGCAAGGGGAACTGTGCTTGTGTAACAGGATTCTACGACACTAACGGGGCAGAGACTGGTGGTACCTGTGCTCCAAGTACGGTTTAGAAACGAACCTGTCCTAATTGATTGTCGACTTTGAATTTGAGTATATCCATGTTATTATATATGTTAGTAAGCCTCGTTCGAAGGATAAGTCAATGTCTTTATTTATATATCGTTTCTCGGACATGTATTTTTGTAGTGACCTATACATAATGTACTTTACAATAGGATTTCTCAAACAAATATATTAATGTTATTACGGTTTGACACTTTTCAGGGAACAGCGAGCCTGAACTTAAAACATATGATTGCAGTTTGACATTGAATCAGGTGTTTACAATAGAAATGAACGATCTGGAAAGTGACGCTTCTAAACAAATTGCAGGAGATGTAAGGATGAACATATCTACTTCCGTTATCATTCAAAAAATTAGAAAGGCTTTCTTCCGCGATTTGTTTTACTCGCTGAAATTACATTGCATCTCAAACGCTATTCGGTTATAAAACAGTATTGCGTACTATCTTAGTTCAAATGTACCACCAGACCTGATTACGATCTGATTCCTATGTGTATCGATACTTTAATGTCCATAATGTAAATGCTCTTTCATTTTCTTTCTCAGCTTAGAATAATCCTTCAAAGCGAACTTGGTAACGTACTGCTAGCAGTTGTTCTGACCCTTTTATCGTAAGTTTTTTTTTGTCCACAGTTATATTGATTTCTTCATCACAATCGACCTACACATCACCTATATCATCAGCATACTCTTCCTCCGGAGCAACCTTAACCCGCTCTTCATCATCAGTAACCTTGACACCCCCTACATCACCAGTAATCTTGACATCCCCTACATCACCAGTAACCTTTGACACCCCCTACATCACCAGTAACCATTGACATCCCCTACATCACCAGTAACATTTGACACCCCCTACATCACCAGTAACCTTTGGCATCCCCTACATTACCAGCAACCTTTGACATCCCCTACATCACCAGAAACCTTTGACATCCCCTACATTACCAGTAACCATGACAACCCCTTCATCAGTAATAACCTTGACATCCTCTTTATCAACAGCACTCTTGACTCTTGACATTTCTTCCGTCACTAGTAATCTTGACCTCCCCTTCATCACCAAAAACTTTTGACATCCCCTACATTACCAGCAACCTTTGACATCCCCTACATCACCAGAAACCTTTGACGTCCCCTACATTACCAGTAACCTTGACATCCCCTCCATCAGTAATAACCTTGACATCCTCTTTATCAACAGCACCTTATTGTTGCTGCATTAGTTTAGTGCTCGTTAAAATGCTGTTCTCTTTCATTCTTAATTAGAATCAACCAGAATCAATTTTATGAATGAAGCAATGAAATCTAGATTGATGCAAAAGTTTTATTTGAGGTGTACATTGTCTTTCAAAGGCCAGGCAGTATCAAAATAGACTACGTTGTCACACTGTCCAAGTCCGTAACACCTGATACACTGCAAACAGCTGTGGTCAATGGTCAAGCGGCTAATCTCAACAATTTGAACTTCATCACAAGCATTGATCCTAACTCTATCGCCGTTACTGAATCAGGTAGGCGTTGTCTGGCATCTATAGAAACACAATATATCTGGGTTACTTTACTAAGCCTGATCATTTGGACTGACCTTAAACACATTTCAGTCAATCAGTGTTTCTTTTTCGATTGCTATCTGCGCCCAATATCTAAGAGGGTTTTTGGAATATTCCGTATACATTTTATTCTGTTTATCTAAAAAAATCATTGAGCTATATTATTCACGAAAGCAAGTGTCTGGAAAATAGGCATTCAAAAAGACTACGAAAATTTAGCCCCAGGAAAGCAGGACTTTTTTTCATAAACGCATCATTTTCATTTTCTACCAAATATCTCATTTGTTTCATCTAACAGAATGTATTATAATGATATACCACAGAACCTCTTCGTATTGTCTAATAAACCAAAATACTTCATATTGTTGCGAAAACACCTTTTGGTATGATATTTAGAGATTATTTTTTATCTCTATGAACAGAGATAAAATTACATTGTTCGGAAGCTTTATCCATAATTTATAGGTAAATAGTAATAAACTCATTATAACATTTATTTTTTGTATGTCTTCCGTTATAGTGCAAGATGTTTTGCAAAATATTAATCTTCGTTTTGACTGATCAATGATTATGATATCTGTTATATTGTGTCTATCGTAAATGTTGTAAATGTTCTACACCTAAATGATGAAAGATGTCGATTATTTTTCGTGTTAAGTATGTTTCCCTAAAATTGGGAACTTCAGCAAGTTACAAGTGTTAAGATTTTTGAGATATTTTGGTCAGTTATAACATGCCATCATCTAGAATATACATAATTTCATCGATAAGTTTAACAGAAACAGCTTCTTTCATGCAAACGGAATATGGGTGGCGTTTTTCAAGAACTTGTTATTACAACAATATTTTCATCAAAATAATAAAGATATAGATATGTAGAAACCAAGATGAAATAACAACCATATTACACAACCAGTAAGAAAAAATGTGTTATCCATTGTAGAGCAAGTACCCTGTGTGCAGACTTCGGCCAACAGAACAGATATCCCCCTGAACGGTCGGTGTGGAGATCACAGCGCCACTGGTATCTGTGTGACACCTAACAGTGCGTGTGTGGACAGGCTAGGAGTTTGGAGATGTCGCTGTGAATCGGGCTTCATTCAAACTAAGGACCAAAGGAACTGCACACCTGGTAGGTGTCTCCTCATGTCAACACTTCTGTGTGAACCCAAATTATAAAGTTACAACTGATATATATATATGCTAGAAATGTCTGGGACTGCTTATATTGTCATATTTAACTTTAAACTTTTCTTCATGAATCTGTGTAATTTTGCCTTCTAACTGATGAAGATATACTTAGACCAGTTTCTTTGTTTGAAGGGCTTTAACTACCTTTAGTAATGAATGTAAGCTAAACCCATGTAATACATACTCTTTCTGTAAGGAATGTTAACTTCAGTATAGCTACGTCGTATCAAAAGTTAATCTAAATAGATTCAATATCACGCATCCGCAGGATTCGGGAGTGTCAAAATCTACGGTTTCTTGTAAAGGAGTGGGCCAGCTCAGGCTAGTCAGCTCCGAAACCGTGAAAAGTTTGATATTTGCAGAAAGATAGTTAAACACCAAATGCATATAGGATACTATTCAAACTATCAGATTTTAATCGACCTCTACATTGTAGACTTGTATGATTATGAATATGCTAAGGACGTGTAAGCTGGAGAATAAAATGATAGAGACATATTCCGATTCTTTTTTTTTTCAACTTCCAAATGAGCTTGTCGGTAACGGCAGACTTTTTCAATTCAGGGATCAGTTACAATTGTAATATGATAACTAAATGAAATTACATTTCACATATCACTGTTTCCTATTGCTACTGGATAAATACATACATATGTTCAAATCACAGAATGTACTAACAGTTAGTGTATGATGAATCTGATATCACTTGTCGAAGCATGTCCATGATGTCCGTTGTTTTATCAGTTTATTCTAATACCTTTACCGTTCAGGGATAGACACGACGAAGTACGGATACGTACATTAGGTATTAATGAGGACAACAATTTGGCAGAAATGCCACGTAGAGATAAACATTTAAAGCATTTTTATATACCTCGGCCTTCATCCTCATCCTTATCGATCGATGACTTGAATGCCTCGTTAGCTTTTAAATCATTGGTGGTTGAAAGGAATATTTTGATTGGCTAAGCATGTATGAGGGACTGTTTTAACAAAAATGTGCTGATCCTAATCCTTGTTTAATTTCGTTGGTATAGCGATATCAGCGTCACTTTTAAACTCAAATTATTTCTGAAAGTTCGTTATCATTGATCTATTTTCATATCAATTAGCTTTTAAAATGTGCTTATCGATTATTGATTGTTATTACTTTATTGTCTATAGCACCGACAGACCTGTTTGCTTATCACAACCTCACTGTAACTCTGCAAGTACCAAAACCTGTCGGAACACAACGTAAGTGCACAATACTATTGTAAATACTTATCAAAATGGTGGTTGTTTCGATCTTGTGTATTCAGAAACGTTTTGAATTATTTAGTGATTTATTCAAAACGATTAGAAAAAAAGTTGGCGGTAAACTCGAACGCCCTTCAAAACGTTTTGTCATACTATTGATTGAATTCTTTGGTGAATGTTGGATCATGATTTCAGCCCCTTGTGAAATGAATAACTGTTACATTGATTAGGTAAAGAATGGTTTTTAATACTTACCATACATATCTATCTCTTTGTCTTTGCAGTTTTTTCCATCCCTTTCTCCAATGACGTCGCTAATTTGTGTACTACCATACCAGAGGTTTCTTTTGTAAAAGCATTCACAGATAACAACTTCCGGTATGAGGTTAACTGTACTGCTGTGTCAGTGATTTTGGATTCCTCATTGTCCGACACTGATACGAGTTTTGCTTTAAGCATTCAAGCGAAGATGACATTTAGTGACCTGATAATCTCTGACGAAATTGTCACCATATTTGAGACATACTCGGATGTTTCCATACCCACAGAATTATGTGTAACTGTGACTGATGGAACGTTTTCCGGCCAGTTACTGGCCACTTTACCTACCTTACGGTCTGGAGAATCTTACGATGCACCAGTATCAAGTAAATACGCGTTACAAGGGGAAAATGTGTACTGTAGAGATTCTATCAACCTCACTACCATCACGGGACAGTCCGATATTGCTGCTTTTCTAGACAAGTTTATCCTTACTTATGGGTCGAAAACTTTAACGATAAAATTCCTTATTGTTAGAGTTGAAATGGACGTCACCAAAAGGGAGGACACGTCAACAAATTCAATTATATTAAAATATTCAATTTCAGATTCATTTACATTGATATCTACAGATCTACCATATACAAATCTGACACTTGGAGTCTCCAACGTTAGAGTTGGATCTGGTCGCCTAGATTTTGAGAGCAATATGTCACCGATTATTTTCAACATTGAAGTCAGGGTATGTTCATTGACGGCTTCGACAAAAGTAGTTTTACATATAACGGACGTCAACGACATTGCACCTCAATTCTCAAGTAGCACATATTCATTTGATATCTTTCCTGCTTCTCTGGCGGGTTTGTTAGTCGGTGCAGTCACAGCAACTGATATTGACAGCATGACATCTCTGTCCTTCAGCGTGGACAGCTCATACTTCGGTATTGACAGCAAAGGCGTCATCAAGACATTGACTAGGACTGAAGTTATACCATTCGTGGAGATAACAGGAGAGTCAAAATACCTTCTAAACGTGACAGTGAGTGACGGAGTGAGAAGCGGAATGGCACAGGTCACCGTAAACTTGGCTCGTCTACCAGGAACAAACCTAGGGCTGACCTTTGTTGCCAATATATTTGAAAACAGCCCACCTGGTACATACGTCTTGACGGCAAATATCAGCGATTACAGCAACTTCGAGTTTGCGAGCGATAGCGCACAGGAGTATTTCTCTCTCAATATTACTACGGTAAAAAATGTTTTTATCTTTTTTTTGATTGTCTTGTAAATGTAAATGCACTTGTATGATATTGTACTATGAAATAGTTTGAATTTCGATTTATTTGATTTATTTAAGGGGGAGGTTTTCACCAATAAACAACTTGACCGAGAAAACGAGGATGAAAATAAGCTTCGGTTTGCAATTACGGCATTCAAAAGCAGTGAAACGACCTGCTCTCTCACCGTAAGTCTGTTTATGTATTTTTTTCTTTATCTCGTCCATTACTTGCATTTTTCATGCACAGTTATTAGGGCAGAATTAATTTTGTTAGAATTAGGAATGAAAATGAACAACCTTTATCATTGCGGCCATTATAACTTCGAGAAGTGTTTCGAAAGACCAGTGACCCCTTTCCGATGAATTAAGCTACATCCTTTAAGTATTTTATCATTTTAGGACTTTCCAGAGGTGTTTGGTGCAAATAAAACTAAATAAATGACAAAATGATTCGAGCAGACATTAACAATTCAGAAGAGTCATTGTCTCTGTTCTTAAGATTTAGACGCGTTCTTCTTGGTTGTGGCAAAGGGTGGTAATAAGTAAACATTTTGATTTTAAAAGTAATTTGCAGATGGGAATCTGATTTTTTCTTTATTATTTAACAGGTACTTGGGGATCTTGAAGTGACGGTGGATGATGTCAATGACAACGCGCCTGTGTTTCAACATTCGGAGTACACGGGTCAGATAGCGGAGGGTAGCACTACTGGTAGAACTGTTGAGGTGTGTATTTGAGGTTGAGTAACATTCAAGATCATTTTCACTCAGAAATGTTATCAAAAGAAGACATATTCCCAGTCATTTTTTCCTGACTTTTTAATGGCTATACTTTTAACCTTTATTATTATCATTTGCAGCTTCAAGTTTCCATCGCAGCTACTGATGCTGATGTGGACTCATCCTTTACTTTTGGTGTATCCAGCAGTAAATTTGCGATTGATGGAATGACAGGCGTAATAACAACGATCTCAGAAATTGATCGCGAGGAGATGGAGACGATGACTCTTGTCGTTACAGCTGACGACGGCGTTAACACAGCTTCTGTTAGCATAGTCATCACAGTGATAGATGTCAATGATAATCCACCAGCGTTCACATTCACAGCAGGGAACTGGTATGTCTGTTATTGATGCTTTCATTCACTTTCTTTTGACAAAGGCATCTTTGCATCATGTTCCTGTTCATTATAGCATTAAAAATCTAACACCTGTTGATAGTGTTTTCACTGTTTGGGCATCTGTTATACTGTTCATGCAATTCCATTGTTTACATTGTTGGTTTCCTTTTCACTATTTATGTAGGAAAATTTGATAAGCTTTTGAATACTTTTTGTTAATGTTTCAGTGTTGATTACAATTTTGTTATTTCCTTTCCTGGAAGAAAGTGTATATAAAAGTTACACCAATCTTCCAAGGCTTTTTTTTCACTCCGATCAGAAATGTTACCGAAGAAGGCATATTTCCATTCATTTTCTGCTTACTTTTCAATACTGTGGTAGAGGATAGGTGAGCTTACTTTTCATCAAACATTCAGGACAACGATTTGATATCACAATGTATAGAAGTAAAAATTATACTGACTACCAGCTTGATTTCGCGTGTTCATTGTGTAACGAATTTTTGTGGCGATTTAATTTTGCGAATAATAGATAAAATCAATGCGGATATTTAGGACCGGATTTTTAGTTCTGTCAAATTTTAATGAGAGTAAAATGTCATATTAGTAATGGCATATATGCTGCATGAGGTTAGTTTTTCTAAATATAGGTGATTGTATTGTGAACACTGTTCATTTCTCTTTTCGTACGTATGTCTTATCGAGCTGGCGTTCAAAGTTTGACTTCTTACCGCAAATTCCATTCTAACGTTACAACCATTCAATTTTACACCAGACAAGCAAACATCTTGTACTTTCATAACTGACTTGTATAGTATTTACTTGCTTCTCGCTTTATGCTCAAGAAAGTAAATCAATTTTTTGTTGTGATTGCTATGTGGAAATTATCTTTCCTTTCAGAAATCATGTATCGTCGGTCAACTGGAAAAATAAACTAAAGTTTACATGTTAACGGCCTACTGGACCTGAGATTGAAACTATGTCGCAGCTATTCATTTTCGCGATTATAATTCGGTTGCGAAATAATTTCGATCGCAGGTACAGAAGGCCTTTACCATGTAAACAGTGGTTTACTGTAATACGGAAAAAAACATACTGAAAAAATCTGAAATGATAATACGAAAAAAAGGGAAAATGATATTTTGAAAAGATGAAACATATTATGAAAGATTTTTTTTAGTTCAAGTATACTTTTTCTTAAGGAGGTCAACAAGTATAAGTGAGGGAATCTCCGTTGGAAATGTCGTCACCACAGTTACAACGAGCGACCTTGACGCTGGCGAAAATGGCAGAATATTTTACAGTATCCAAGGAGACTCTGGCTACTTCCGAATGGATGACAGACTTTCTGGTGTAATCACTGTTGCGCATAACTTAGACAGAGAGGAAAAACCAGTTCACACTTTTACTGTGCTAGCACGTGACAATGGAATTCCGTTTCTAAGCGTAAATACATCGATAACTGTAAGCCTGATAGACATTAATGACAACGACCCCGTATTTAATTTCACTACTCTAGAAACGACGAAACCAGAGGACGCTTGTGCACTAATTGGTGCGCCTTTGTTGACGGTATCTGCTACCGACGAAGACGACGGTTCGAACGGGGAGATTGCAAGCTATTCCTTCACCGGGTAATGAGCTGTTGATTTCAATATTTCAAATTTAATTATGTATTTGATATGTTTTCACTTTAACTTCCTCTTAATATGTTTAATTATGTGCCCCAAAAAATTTGGGGAGCATATAGACGGCGCTTTGTTCATTCGTCGGTCCATAACTTTGGCCACAGATAAGCAATGATCATGGAACTTGGTGTATACATTGATCATACTGTGACATGATGTGCAGTGTACCAAATTTAGGGCCCTCGACCCTCAATTATAGAGTTATTGCCCCTTGTTAAAATACCTTGCCCTGAGCATAACTTTGCTTGCATTAAAACTAGGATAATGAAACTTATTCTACACATTGAGAATACGAGGGAGATGTGCAATTAATCAAATTCGAGTCCAACAATCCGTTTATTGCTAGTTAGTCATCTTTGTTAAATTTCCTGTCGATAGCATTACTTTGCCTTGGTTTGAATTAGGTAATGTAACTTGGTGGAGACATTGGTCATACTACGCGGATGTTCAGTGTACCAAATTCAGTGCCTATAATCACTTGATTACAGTATTATTGCCCTTTGTTACAATTTTGTGTCCAATAAAGTCCTTTTCGGGAAGCATTCATCAGTTTCGCTGATACTCTTGTGTTTCAGAGGAAATGAAGATGGAGTTTTTACAATCGATACTGGTGGAGTAATTCGATGTAGCAAAGGTTTAGATTACGAAACTACTGCTGAGTATAAACTGGTTACCGTAGCAACGGATAATGGAAATCCTCCCCGAAGCAGCTCCTCCACTGTCACAATAACGATCTCCGACATTAACGACAACATACCTTCGTTTACACAAGAACTTTCTTCTGGGTCCCACTTCATAAAAATCAGGAAGTAAGTTAACACAAAGTTTATACATTGCACTGCTATGCATTGTAGTGTAGCAATGTAAAATACAGTATCCTGGAAACATTGGGTTCGTTACCGACAATGTATTTTTCATTTAGCGGTGACGTCAGTAAATATGGGTATGTTTTAAACATATAAACAATCACGATATGTAACATTTCACACTAATGTAGCAGTTAAGTGTTCAATTGAGAACCATGCACAAAATTTGTTTATTTGAAAGAAAAGAAATTTTTGAAATGAAGATAACAGGTTTTCACAACAAAATACTCTAAATGGACTCGTTTTGAACAGGAAATTGCTAATACCACTAGGTCAGTGGTAATACTCAATACATGAATAGGAAGCTAGCTTGCACAAATATTCGCTACAGAAGCAGATTATCAACCTCATCATTGGAAAAGTTTGTGATTACGACCTCATCGACTATGTCATCGAAATGTAAGGGGGATAGTACGATGATGATATCTTTGTGATCTTTTTCGACGTTTTAGACGATAAATGAATTTCGACGTTTTAACAAAATGCATTATTTCATCTGCAGTATATTTGTAAAAAAAGGAAACAAGCAAACTATCCTCTATTTTTGTCACGAATTGCTATTGCCGTCTCCAGGAAACGTTACCAGCAAGGAGACGGTCGATGGAAAACGGCACTGATCACCAACTTAGTTTTCTTTACTCTCACGAAGGACACGTAATTGTCTGACATTATATCAATTTATATTAATTTAGTGTCTTAAAGAATTGTTTCCAAACTAAGCTTATTCACAAATGTGGTTGCCAATATAATTTTTTTTTCTCATATTTTGATATTTCTTTTTTGAATCGACCTCTTACTTCATTCTGACAGGTCGGATTTCGCTGGTCAGGCTGGAAAGCCAGTCATGGTAGTGACCGTTGTTGACCGGGACAGTGGTCTGAACGGCCAAATTAAGACACCAATCGGTCTTACCTTGCCAACTGGACTAAGTCTCACTCTTGAAGAGAGTGGTGTTCTGCGCACGAACAGATCCGATCCTCCAATCCAGAATCTCACAGTCATAATGACAGCCACGGATAAAGGCTTTCCATCTCTTTCCTCCACGGCCACACTGACTTTGGAAATAGTGGATGACGGCACGACAGAAGGAAAAGTGCAGTTTCAGGATCAGGACATTTCAATGAATATTGAAGAGAACACTTCCAACAGAGAAATTGGATCGTTGGCCAGTCGGGTGACTTATTTACCTGGTGCAACAGTCTTGTTCGACAAAGTTTCGGGAGCTGAAAACGTGAAAATTGATTCGTCCGGCATTGTAAAGGTCGAAGATCCGTTTGACAGAGAAACGATAAGCTCAACTGTAATCGTTGTTCGAGCTACTGTAGATGACGAATCAGACTTGGCACTTGTAAGTTTTCTCATTGTTTTGTATGAAACTTCCGTCTTAATTGGTCGCAAATAACACTAATTGTGTTTCATTATGGAAGAGGTGTAATGTTAAGCAGCATTACGGAAATTTATGGCTTATTTATACTTTTGATATGGCCAAAGTATTCCTTACTACACGAAATTATAATTGTAATTTCTTCGATCACCCAAAAACTATTTTATAACATCGTCGTACCATCTAGGCAACAACAGTATGGGCGATCAGCAATGGTAGTAGCAGTGATCTGAAATCGTAGAATCTAACTTGAGATCGTGTATTGTCTAGGGGTGATATATGATATACCATTTTAAATTGCCTATCGTTTTAGGAGTTCACTAATAATTAAAAAATTAAAATGTCAAAATATTGATGACAGATTGTTAAACCTTTGATTTTTGGCGTCATCCTATGATTTCTTGGTATGAGGATATCCCTATGCATGCTATCCTAGTTAGGCTTGAAAGATAACACTGGGATATGAAGTAAGAACTAGTTTGACGAGGTATAGTTATAAAGTGATGTATCCTTATGTACCAAAGTAAGTAGTATATAAGACGATGGATATTACAGCTAACAGTGACCGTTGATGACCTGAATGACAACCATCCAACATTTGGTTCAGTGGACAAGTACCGTCGTATTCTTGCCGAAGACTTCGCCATGGATAATGAGGTAGCTACTGCTGTGGCTACAGACCAGGATGATGGTTCCAATCAAAAAATAACCTACACAATAATAACTTCTGGCGGTAAGTAGGGAATTTTTACTCTCGACCTGTTGATTTCCACGTACTTTATAGATTATTGAATATCATTTTCAATATAAAGAGGTCAAATATTGTTTATGCTCATTAAAAAATGTCAGACTTTGAAATATTGCCTACTTAGAAGAAAACAACTAACTCTTTATGTGCACCCTCCCATGTAACTACTTGTTTTTGATCCTGGTGAGACCAACCAAATCACTGTTCTGATACAACGACAAAATCACCTGATCTTCACCCTTAACCTATGTGCACAGCCTTTCCTCAAAGGAATGTAGATGTGAAAATATAAGCTTAAAAATCACCTTATCATAAGTAGTTTTACATTATCTCAAACGAAGTAAATAATCCATTAGTTAGACATTGTCTATATGTACATACTGGAAATCAATATTGTTTGGGACATACTGGAAATTAATATTGTTTGGGACATACTGGAAATTAATATTGTTTGGGACATACTGGAAATTAATATTGTTTGGGACATACTGGAAATTAATGTTGTTTGGGACATACTGGAAATTAATGTGGTTTGGGACATACTGGAAATTAATGTTGTTTGGGACATACTGGAAATTAATGTGGTTTCGGACATACTGGAAATTAATGTTGTTTGGGACATACTGGAAATTAATGTTGTTTGGGACATACTGGAAATTAATGTGGTTTGGGACATACTGGAAATTAATGTTGTTTGGGACATACTGGAAATTAATGTTGTTTGGGACATACTGGAAATTAATGTTGTTTAGGACATACTGGAAATTAATATAGTTTGGGACATACTGGAAATTAATGTTGTTTGGGACATACTGGAAATTAATGTTGTTTGGGACATACTGGAAATTAATGTTGTTTGGGACATACTGGAAATTAATGTGGTTTCGGACATACTGGAAATTAATGTTGTTTGGGACATACTGGAAATTAATGTTGTTTGGGACATACTGGAAATTAATGTGGTTTCGGACATACTGGAAATTAATGTTGTTTGGGACATACTGGAAATTAATGTGGTTTGGGACATACTGGAAATTAATATTGTTTGGGACATACTGGAAATTAATATTGTTTGGGACATACTGGAAATTAATGTTGTTTGGGACATACTGGAAATTAATGTTGTGGACATACTGGAAATTTGGGACATACTGGAAATTAATGTTGTTTGGGACATACTGGAAATTAATAATTGTTTGGGACATACTGGAAATTAATGTTGTTTGGGACATACTGGAAATTAACATACTGGAAATTAATGTTGTTTGGGACATACTGGAAATTAATGTTGTTTGGGACATACTGGAAATTAATGTTGTTTGGGACATACTGGAAATTAATATTGTTTGGGACATACTGGAAATTAATGTTGTTTGGGACATACTGGAAATTAATGTGGTTTCGTTTGGGACATACTGGAAATTAATGTTGTTTGGGACATACTGGAAATTAATGTGGTTCCGGACATACTGGAAATTAATGTTGTTTGGGACATACTGGAAATTAATGGAAATTAATGTTGTTTGGGACATACTGGAAATTAATGTTGTTTGGGACATACTGGAAATTAATATTGTTTGGGACATACTGGAAATTAATGTTGTTTGGGACATACTGGAAATTAATGTTGTGGGACATACTGGAAATTAATGTTGTTTGGGACATACTGGAAATTAATGTTGTTTGGGACATACTGGAAATTAATGTGGTTTCGGACATACTGGAAATTAATGTGGTTTGGGACATACTGGATATTAATGTTGTTTGGGACATACTGGAAATTAATGTTGTTTGGGACATACTGGAAATTAATATTGTTTGGGACATACTGGAAATTAATGTTGTTTGGGACATACTGGAAATTAATGTTGTTTGGGACATACTGGAAATTAATGTGGTTTGGGACATACTGGAAATTAATGTTGTTTGGGACATACTGGAAATTAATGTTGTTTGGGACATACTGGAAATTAATGTTGTTTGGGACATACTGGAAATTAATGTTGTTTGGGACATACTGGAAATTAATGTGGTTTGGGACATACTGGAAATTAATGTTGTTTGGGACTGGAAATTAATACATACTGGAAATTAATGTTGTTTGGACATACTGGAAATTAATGTTGTTTGGGACATACTGGAAATTAATGTTGTTTGGGACATACTGGAAAAATGGAAATTAATGTTGTTTGGGACATACTGGAAATTAATGTTGTTTGGGACATACTGGAAATTAATGTTGTTTGGGACATACTGGAAATTAATGTTGTTTGGGACATACTGGAAATTAATGTTGTTTGGGACATACTGGAAATTAATGTTGTTTGGGACATGGGACATACTGGAAATTAATGTTGTTTGGGACATACTGGAAATTAATGTTGTTTGGGACATACTGGAAATTAAATGGGACATACTGGAAATTAATGTTGTTTGGGACATACTGGAAATTAATGTTGTTTGGGACATACTGGAAATTAATGTTGTTTGGGACATACTGGAAATTAATGACATTGGTTTGGGACATACTGGAAATTAATGTTGTTTGGGACATACTGGAAATTAATGTTGTTTGGGACATACTGGAAATTAATGTTGTTTGGGACATACTGGAAATTAATGTTGTTTGGGACATACTGGAAATTAATGTTGTTTGGGACATACTGGAAATTAATGTGGTTTCGGACATACTGGAAATTAATGTTGTTTGGGACATACTGGAAATTAATGTTGTTTGGGACATACTGGAAATTAATGTTGTTTGGGACATACTGGAAATTAATGTTGTTTGGGACATACTGGAAATTAATGTTGTTTGGGACATACTGGAAATTAATGTTGTTTGGGACATACTGGAAATTAATGTTGTTTGGGACATACTGGAAATTAATGTTGTTTGGGACATACTGGAAATTAATGTTGTTTGGGACATACTGGAAATTAAAGTTGTTTGTGAAATTAATTTTGTTTTGGACATACTGGAAATTAATGTTGTTTGGGACATACTGGAAATTAAAATTAATGGAAATTGTTTGGGACATACTGGAAATTAATGAAATTAATGTTTGGGACATACTGGATTGGGACATACTGGAAATTAATGTTGTTTGGGACATACTGGAAATTAATGTTGTTTGGGACATACTGGAAATTAATGTTGTTTGGGACATACTGGAAATTAATGACATACTGGGTTGTTTGGGACATACTGGAAATTAATGTTGTTTTGGACATACTGGTAATTAATGTTGTTTGGGACATACTGGAAATTAATGTGGTTTGGGACATACTGGAAATTAATGTTGTTTGGGACATACTGGAAATTAATATTGTTTGGGACATACTGGAAATTAATGTTGTTTGGGACATACTGGAAATTAATGTTGTTTGGGACATACTGGAAATTAATATTGTTTGGGACACTGGAAATTAATGTTGTTTGGGACATACTGGAAATTAATGTTGTTTGGGACATACTGGAAATTAATGTTGTTTGGGACATACTGGAAATTAATGTGGTTTGGGACATACTGGAAATTAATGTTGTTTGGGACATACTGGAAATTAATGTTGTTTGGGACATACTGGAAATTAATGTTGTTTGGGACATACTGGAAATTAATATTGTTTGGGACATACTGGAAATTAATATTGTTTGGGACATACTGGAAATTAATGTGTTTTCGGACATACTGGAAATTAATGTTGTTTGGGACATACTGGAAATTAATGTGGTTTGGGACATACTGGAAATTAATGTTGTTTGGGACATACTGGAAATTAATGTTGTTTGGGACATACTGGAAATTAATGTTGTTTGGGACATACTGGAAATTAATGTTGTTTGGGACATACTGGAAATTAATATTGTTTGGGACACTGGAAATTAATGTTGTTTGGGACATACTGGAAATTAATGTTGTTTGGGACATACTGGAAATTAATGTTGTTCGGGACATACTGGAAATTAATATTGTTTGAGACATACTGGAAATTAATGTTGTTTGGGACACTGGTAATTAATGTTGTTTGGGACATACTGGAAATTCATATTGTTTGGGACACTGGAAATTAATGTTGTTTGGGACATACTGGAAATTAATATTGTTTGGGACATACTGGAAATTAATGTGGTTTCGGACATACTGGAAATTAATGTGGTTTCGGACATACTGGAAATTAATGTTTTTTGGGACATACTGGATATTAATGTTGTTTGTGACGTACTAGCCAATAATGTTGTTTTGGACATACTGGAAATTAATATTGTTTGGGACACTGGAAATTAATGTTGTTTGGGACATACTGGAAATTAATATTGTTTGAGACATACTGGAAATTAAGGTTGTTTGGGACATACTGGAAATTAGTGCTGTTTGGGACATACTGGCCAATAATGTTGATTGGGACATACTGGAAATTAATGTTGTTTGGGACATACTGGAAATTAATGTTGTTTGGGACATACAGGATATAGATGTTGGTTGAAGCATACAGGGGATATGTGAAGCTTATAACATACAGAATATTGATGTTGGTGGAACATACAGGGGATACGTGATGTTTATAACATACAGGGGATATGTGATGTTTGTAACATACAGGGTATTGTTGTTGGTGGAACATACAGCGGATAAGTGATGTTGTACATACAGGGGATATGTGATGCTTATAACATACAGGATATTAATGTTGGTTGGAACATACAGGGGATATGTGATGCTTATAACATACAGGATATTGATGTTGGTGTAACATACAGGGGATATGTGATGCTTATAACATACAGGATATTAATGTTGGTTGGAACATACAGGGGATATGTGATGTTTGTAACATACAGGATATTGATGTTGGTTGGAACATACAGCGGATAAGTGATGTTGTACATACAGGGGATATGTGATGCTTATAACATACAGGATATTAATGTTGATTGGAACATACAGAGGATATGTGATGTTTGTAACATACAGGATGTTGATGTTGGTGGAACAGGGGATACGTGATGTTTATAACATACAGAGAATATGTGAAGCTTATAACATACAGGGCATTGATGTTGGCTGGAACATACAGGTGATATGTGATGTACATACAGGGGATATGTGATGTTGTACATACAAGGGATATGTGATGTAGTACATACAGGGGATATATGATGTTTATAACATACAGGGTATTGATGTTGGTGGAACATACAGGGGATATGTGATGTTGTACATACAGGATATGTGATGTTGTACATACAGGGGATATATGATGTTTATAACATACAGGGTATTGATGTTGGTGGAACATACAGGGGATAAGTGATGTTGTACATACAGGGGATAAGTGATGTTGTACATACAGGGGATAAGTGATGTTGTACATACAGGGGATAAGTGATGTTGTACATACAGGGGATATGCGATGGGATATGTGATGTTGTACATTTGAATCATGAACGTAATCTCTATTTGACAGATTGTTCTGACCATTTTGTTGTTGCCTCAACAACCGGTATCATCTCGTTGGACAGAAACCTTGACCGAGAAGGGTCATTTTCTTTCTGTGCTTTCTCAATTAAAGTAAGTAGAATGGATTTAGATACGTAAAATGCAGTAACTTGAACGATAAGACAGTTTTCTATATACAGTTAAACCTCGTTATTTCGAGCTCGGCGGGACCATGGAAAAACTTCGAGATAACTGAATATTCGATTTAAGCGAGTTCGATTATTTTGTATAATATAAATGCATTGAATTAAACGCGGTTATCGAGTTAAGTGAGTTCGCGATACCGAGATTGGACAGTATCTACAATGGGTTTCACAGATGAACACGTTTTAATATTGTATTTCAGCCTGGCATCAGGTGACATTACTATGGAGAGTCATGTTAATTCTGATATGAAAAAAGTAATAAAGAATGTGATCAAATTGTTGGTAATTTAAGGTAATTAAATTTCAGTATTATTGCTTTTACTTTGAAGAACAAATATCATGGCCATCCGTTTATCTGTTATGAGCAGGCCACGGACGGAGGCAGTCCAAGTCTTACAGCTACTGTTCCAGTAGAAGTGACAGTGACTGATGTTAACGACAACAGTCCGCTCTTTAGTGATCTGTCCTCTACAGGGGGGTATGACATTACAGTGATGGAGGACCTGCGTATCAGTGACCAGGTAAAGACGGGTATCATGGGGAAAGAAAGGGGGAAATATAGACTGGACATTGTGAAGGAAAGGAGAGTTGACATTGTGGATTCATGAGGGATGGACCTGTGTCAAGGATTCATATCAAGTATCAAGTATAAAAATTTGTATGATAGTCACATTATATAAACATCATGTAATCAAAATTCTACATATATATGCAAGGGAAATGGACCTCTTTTTAACAATATTCAGGTACTTTTGATAACTGCTTTCAGACGGAGCCCTTTGGGTACATCACTGATGCTGACATAGGACCGAATGGTGCTGTAGATATTTCTCTCTCTCCAGATGCTCTTTGTCCTTTTTCAGCTAAGTTAGGTATGTATTTTAGTGAAACACACCAGGTAGGGCTCTTCTTCAATCTGACCTCATACATAAATATGTTAATATTTTAAGTGGTATTTTATGGGTTTCATCAGTTCTTGCCCAAGGCTTAACAATTAATTCCGATGAAGCTTAGTTTGGAATGAAAAAAGTAATTTGCTTCTTTTCCTTGAAGTGATGATATCAGAGGTTCCTTATTAAGTCAACGTTGATTTTTCATGGAATCGGTCATGGAATGCAGTTTCACAAGTTTGTAAACGATATTATTTCAGTTTTTGTAAATGAGTCACATGAACCTATCATATTGACAAGAATTTGTTTTTAAGCAAGATGGAATTTTCTCTGTATAGTGGTAGTATATAAGTTTCCCTTGACGATGCTAGTTCTTACCATTATGTAGCCCAATAATGTAATACATGCTTATGATGATTGTTATAACACTACACGATGCTGGCAGGGAGGGAATAGTTATGTCTCCGCTTTTAAGTCGTTTCCTTTCAAGCCTAGCCTATAAAACACTTTTTTTCAATAGAATTCACAACAGTTGTCATTTCCGATGTCTTCAAAATCATCCTCACATTGGCATCCATACTGGACTATGAAGCAGTGAAGTTCCATACTTGTGAAGTACTGGTGTTCGATAAAGGGATACCATCCTTGAACAACACTGTAAAGGTCGATATCACAGTCGCTGACGTGAATGACAACCCACCCGTCTTCTCTGTTAAAAATTACAACGTTGACGTATCACGTGATGCAAACATAGGTCATGTGATAACTGATGAAATAAATGCAACTGATGCGGAGTCAACAGATCTAAGCTTTAAGTTAGGTAAGGAGGAGGTAATGAGGACAGAAGTGAATGACATCTTAGTCTATGTAACGGAATGTCATTAGTTTGTCAATATTATCATACTTAAGGTTAAGTTATATCCTATATATCTATTTGCTGTCGTAAATGATGAAACAACATTACAATGAGTGCATAAAAATACTTTTGGTCAACGTTCATAACAGGTTGTAGACTCTGTTGGTGGACGTTCAATCCTCGAGGTTACCGTAGTCTATATTCATTCGAATAATGGCTCATATCAAAATGTACACGTGTAATTGACGTTCTTTTGAAAAAATAAATATCTAAAATAATGAAATAAACTGAATTTACGTGTTAGTACACCCCCATCTGTTTTTTTTTTTTTTTTTTCTTACATATATTGGATCATTTCGGATCTTCCTCCGTATCAACAATTAAGTCCCTTAGCGCTGCTGACGAATCCTAGAAGAACGAAAAAGCAGTTTCATTCATTATCAGTATAGGCTGGAAAAGCTTGTTTCGCAATGTTGTAAGATAAATAAAGTTTAATTTTAAATGAATTTAACTTCATTACACACCTGATTCGTGCTTCAAGGTCTCGTCCGTGATGCTAAGGACCTAAATTTTGAAACCAAGAAGAGCGCTGATTGAAACTAAGTTGTGGCAAATTCAATCTTTATGTGTGTGGCGTTGAAGTGAATGTAAATAAGTTCTTTGTGATAATTCTTTAATTATCTACCTAACCCAACCTTGAGACCAAGCTAGAAAAAGTAAATACAAATATCATTACTGTCTTTGTGTTTCAGCTGCACCTACGTCTGATGAAATGGATTATATTGAATACTTCAATATCAATTTTGTAACGGCTAGAATCACAGTGAACTTAAAACTTGTTGACCTCCAACGAGATGACTTGGTCCTAAACGTTATAGCAGAGGATGGAGGCCTCCCGCCGCTGTCGGCTACAGCCACTGTAAGTGTTGGACTGCATGGTCTTAGAAATGAAACAAAAAGAATAGATATCTTGAGAAAGGTACTTGCGACGTGACGGTCTCAGATGTAAGGCAATTATTCGGTCAGTGAAACAGTTGTCAATAGGTATTCTGCTTGAGAATGCACCGATTACAGCTACATCCGGGTTTTCTTTCTATATTTAAAACAAGACGTTATGGCACTGCTACTGACACTAAAGTAGCTGCAAACTTAACACATCTTTTCTATTCTGACACAAAATGCTAAATAAAACGGAAGTGAGCGATCAATACTGGACATTCGATTGTCGATGAATAAGCTGATTCTATTTCTTTTTTGTGAATTAGGTTAGCATATCAATCAAGGATGATAACATACGTCCCGTCTTTGAAAAACCCGTGGAAATACTGGAACTTATTGAACACGCTAGTGTTGTCAATCCTATCTTCACCGCCGTGGCAACAGACCGTGTCGGAAGACAGGATCCTGAACGTTGTAACTGTACCTATAGGTTCGAAACCCCTTCAGGTGCGTGTTCCTGTAATAAAGACTTCATTTTTTCAACAATTAAGGGGAAATGATGCTAACTTATTTTCAAGTGAGATCCACAGTTCCTACCCGGAAAACAAAATTACATACCTATGCTTGTGATAAAGGGTGTCACGTGAAAATATGTTTAAAACTGATTTAACGAAGAAGCACCAGATAGAATGCTTAAAAGTATATGGTTGGACGATCTCATTGTGTGGGTATTGTTTGAGTAATTGACATTTGATTAATAAGTTTACTTGTGAATACATTGTCAAAAGATGCATATGCATGATGATTGTTCATGCCCTGAATAGATGGTAAAACAACATAGGTGTATTTAGCTGTTATATTTTGAGTTGAGATTTTATAGTTTTATTTCACACATATCTGTAGAAACCTTTGAAATCAACAACACCACCGGCGAAATCAACGTCAAGCAGGGGGTTGACATTGACAGAGAAAAAACACCAGAAATCATCTTGTATATAATAGCTACTGATCCTGGTAATAAGGACTCCCTACCTGTCAGTCTGACACTCACTATAGCGGACATCAATGACCAAAGCCCTGTCTTTACGGACATTAGGGATGGAGACTATAGATTTACACTGTTACAGGTGAGGGTCACACTTTAGTATCGCTGATATCAACGCTTTCAACCTGAAATGATGTCAAATATTCACACAGCTATCACGTCTAGATTGCTCGTACTTGCATTTGAATCATTCTTATATTATCAATGAAACTGGATTTATATAAAAAGCTTATTTATTAATAAATGATACACGTTGAACCCTGGCTCCAGGCGGCTCCGGTTGGCTCCGTCGTGGGGACTGTGATTGCTGAGGACGCGGATGCAGAGGAAAACGCCATTCCAATATATTCATTAAGAGGTGCGAGTTATTCCTGGTCCCCACTGATAGCCAACCCCACAGACCTATTCTCGGCCATACCTGTCGGTATCTACCCTCAAAATGGTACCATCTTCACCAACGGCTCTTTAGATCTTAATGCTACAAGAAACTTTTACATTGAGGTGCGTGTTTCAAATATCGTTACAGCTTCCTAATCTTATACCCATAGACATGATCGAATTAGTGAGTCTAAGTTTTGTTCATTACCAGCTGTTTTTTTTTTAAATTGCTTAAAATTAATTTGTTGTGAGTTAAGTTTTGTGTATCATTTTCACACAGACTTTAAAAAAGCATAATTCAGTCAAAGTATATGTATTATAGTTAAGAATTTATTACATCTTTTCCTTCGCATCGTTTTCTCTACAGCTGGTTGTGAGAGCTGAAGACTCAAAGGACAGTTTAAAGGCCACAGAAACAAAAGTCATCATCCAGGTGGATTACGAAGATCCTAACGGTTACCGTCCGGAGTTTTCTCAAGGTAACCATGGTTACTCCTAGGTTTCCCCAGTATATGGTAAATCTGTTACTATAGACACTGAAGATCATAACACTTCCTATGTTATCACTCACAGCAGTTCCTAGATAATCAGTTATCTTTGTTACACTCCATTCCTCTTTCCACTCCAGGTATATTTCACTATGATTACTCTCCACTCCTCTTTACACTCCAGGTATATTTCACTATGATTACTCTCCACTCCTCTTTACACTCCGGGTATATTTCACTATGATTACTCTCCACTCCTCTTTACACTCCATGTATATTTCACTATGATTACTCTCCACTCCTCTTTACACTCCAGGTATATTTCACTATGATTACTCTCCATTCCTCTTTCCACTCCAGGTATATTTCACTATGATTACTCTCCACTCCTCTTTACACTCCGGGTATATTTCACTATGATTACTCTCCACTCCTCTTTACACTCCGGGTATATTTCACTATGATTACTCTCCACTCCTCTTTACACTCCGGGTATATTTCACTATGATTACTCTCCACTCCTCTTTACACTCCAGGTATATTTCACTATGATTACTCTCCACTCCTCTTTACACTCCGGGTATATTTCACTATGATTACTCTCCACTCCTCTTTACACTCCATGTATATTTCACTATGATTACTCTCAATTCCTCTTTCCACTCCAGGTATATTTCACTATGATTACTCTCCACTCCTCTTTACACTCCAGGTATATTTCACTATGATTACTCTCCACTCCTCTTTACACTCCAGGTATATTTCACTATGATTACTCTCCACTCCTCTTTACACTCCAGGTATATTTCACTATGATTACTCTCCACTCCTCTTTACACTCCAGGTATATTTCACTATGATTACTCTCCACTCCTCTTTACACTCCGGGTATATTTCACTATGATTACTCTCCACTCCTCTTTACACTCCAGGTATATTTCACTATGATTACTCTCCACTCCTCTTTACACTCCAGGTATATTTCACTATGATTACTCTCCACTCCTCTTTACACTCCAGGTATATTTCACTATGATTACTCTCCACTCCTCTTTACACTCCGGGTATATTTCACTATGATTACTCTTCACTCCTATGATTACTCTCCACTCCTTTTTACCATCCAGGTATGTTTCAATATGATTACTTTCCAGATTCGCCAGAAACAAATTACTTTGGTTACACTCTACTCTTGTTTATCCTCCAGAAACATTTGACTTAGTTCTGAAGGAGCATGTTGTCATGACCACTCTCTCCTCTCTTAGTTCTGAAGGAACATGTTGTCATGGCCACTCTTTCCTCTCGTTAGTTCTGAAGGAGCATGTTGTCATGGCCACTCTTTCCTCTCGTTAGTTCTGAAGGAGCATGTTGTCATGGCTACTCTTTCCTCTCGTTAGTTCTGAAGGAGCATGTTGTCATGGCCACTCTTTCCTCTCGTTAGTTCTGAAGGAGCATGTTGTCATGGCTACTCTTTCCTCTCGTTAGTTCTGAAGGAGCATGTTGTCATGGCCACTCTTTCCTCTCGTTAGTTCTGAAGGAGCATGTTGTCATGGCCACTCTCTCCTCTCTTAGTTCTGAAGGAGCATGTTGTTATGGCCACTCTTTCCTCAAGTTAGTTCTGAAGGAGCATGTTGTCATGGCCACTCTTTCCTCTAGTTAGTTCTGAAGGGGCATGTAACCATTATCATGGTGAATTTCTTCTCTCTTTGGTTTTCATGAAGCACCATTTTTTTTTATAAATTGGCTAGTTTGTTTATCCAACACTGATAAGGAATACATCCTGTGGTTCTATTTGTTAATGATGCCTACCATCATTTCACTCTATGAGATGTCTTTTTAAAATAACTCATCTTATAATTCTATTATCGCTGCAGATAAATATCGCACTTCGTTAGCCAAATCAGTCACTATTGGAACAGTGTTGGACATCAATGTGACAGCTTCTGACCGTGACACCGGCGCTGACGGAGCGATCAGTTATAGAATTACAGCTGGCAATATCAGGGTAAGGATAAGTCAAGTCAGTCTTACGTAAATATCACTGAACTAATTTGGAAATTAGAACTTTATGGAAATGGAAATAATACCGTTTCAGCAAGATTAGAGATAGAACACATAGAGAATGATTGTCTCGGATTTTTTCGCGGTGACCATGATGACATATAAAAATGTGGAGCTCAAGAGCTCCTTTAGACACCTTCCATGACCATTAATGCAGGTTACAGCCAAATAATATAAAGATTAGATTTGTGTTATTTAAAGCAATTTCGTTTAAATAACGGTTTTGACGATGTTTCAAAAAGTTCGGAGCATAATATTAGTTGTCAGAAATTTGGTGTTGTTGACTTTCATGGTGTAAATATTGCAACCAAATGACAGCTTAAGGTATGTATTTACTTCTAGGTATCACGTGATTATTTTTACAGGATATTTTTAGCATTGATTCACTAACAGGACAACTATCTGTTGCCTATGTCATCGACCTTACTACAAATATCGTTAACATGACTATCCAGGCAAAGGATGGAGGGATTATACCAAAAACGGGGTATGTTGTCGAAAATCAAGCGCTGGTGTGTATTGAGTATTCAACATTGTCCACTAACAATCCCACATACAAACTCTAACGTCTATAAAAGTAATGAACTGTGATCTTAAGCTACTGGTAGGGAATTAGATTACCTTGACCTCCCATCATCCATACTCTGTACTGAAAACGTTGAATGAGTTTGTATCCGTCTATTTAAGTGACCCAGTCAGACTAACGGCGTCACTAAAACAAATTTTATATTGTGTTGTTACTAAATGGTTGAAATGAGTCTGTAAATATAAATGTTGTAGGTACTGTTCTGTGGAGATTGTCCTCACCGGAGACCCCGTCGACTGTAGACCCTCTCCAGACACCAGTAACCAGTGGTTCATACCAATGTTGGTATTAGCCGGTGTTCTGGGTGTCGGTATCGTGGCCTTACTCGTACTAACTTACCATTTCGTAAAGTAAGTTATTTTACAGTTATTTGTGATGTTTGACCTGATTTAACGTCTTACCATTTCTGTGATATCGCGTCACTGACCTTGACAATTGTCCCATATTTGCGAAAAGTCATATCGTTCTGACCATTATTCTGAATTTGCAGATTACGCCACAAATATCAGGACCCGAACCACATGGCATTAAGAGATACGAAAAGGAGCATTTACACGGCCCATGGTCAATCCATGGCGGAAGATTACAGAAGTTACGCTCCATTATCAGCCACCAGTCGAACGTTCCCGGGTCAAATGGTTCCAGTATGTATTCACATAAGTCGCTTCGATCCTCTATTTTGTCTCCGGGTTATTAAGTGTTAGAATAATGCTGCTGTTTATCTTTCTTTTGAGTTGTAAAGTACATGTACATTAAGCAAATGTAATCTTGAAATATTTCAAACTAATATAAGAACCGCTTATATTTTGAGAATTCTCATAATTTAATTAAACGTCAGATAATTTAAGTCATCCTGATTTCTTGTCAGTGTAAAATTGATCCTGCAGGGTTCTTTTCAGTTTATATCACAATACTGTTGATTTGGATGTATTGCCAATCTACAAAATATTCAGTCAATATCCTTGTCAGTGTAAAACATATCCAGTTAAGTATCTATCTATCCGTGTATTGTTACTTTATAACATTTCCAGTCAGAATCCTTCTCAGTGTAAAACATATCCAGTTGAGTATTCTATCTATCCGTGTATTCTTACTTTATAACATTTCCAGTCAGAATCCTTCTCAGTGTAAAACGTATCCAGTTGAGTATCTATCTATCAGTGTATAATTCAGTCAGATCTAGGTTACGTTAAAACATATCCAGTCGGATTTCTGGTCAGTTTTGTCATTTTCGTCCGAATATCCTCCAATGGTGAATGTTTTGACTTTCAGTTCAGCAAGGTTGATGTAAGTGTTGCCCAACACATACAAGTTATTTAAATTTCATAGAAGTGTGTATTAACCACTTTAATGTAGAAATTCACATAAAAAAATTTAAATTCATTAACGTTATTTTATTTCATCATTTTTTTTTTTTTTTTTTACATATTTTCTATTTCCTGTGCTAGTTCCATGATCAACAAATCTCAATTTACCGTTCCATGGACAGTTTGAGAGCTGACCAGAGTGGTCAGGTAAAGAAAACTGATTAACATCCGCGTGTGTACTAACTGTTGACTTACTGTTAATGTTATAGACATTTGACAGACATTTTATAAACTCCTTAGACGCCATATGTTAACAAGTAACAATCTGCGTCTCCTCGTCAACTGACCGAATTTCTTCTGGTGCTTCCCGACATTGCTTAACACTCAAATTTCCATAGATAGTTAATATTCTATGTGAAAACTGTTTCTGTAATTTTAATATCTCTCCCATTTGTGTGTTTTGAAATTCTGTAAGTCAACCCTCACCTATAGTCAACTCTTTTAGCGTACTTTTGTTCTCGAAAAAATGCAGCAAGAAATTCACTAAATGGGGAAAAATATCCTTTTTGCCCAAAACATTTTCCTAGTACAGTATTTAAAAATACAGGAATAATTTCATATATGTTAAATTTCTTTATTAACCAAATTTATACTGGGAAAAAATATCGAGATACATTATCGAGAATTTACCTGTCTGTTGTTCAATTGTAAGCTAACTGTATAGTGAAAGTCTAACTTGTTGGTTGACCTGTCTGTTGAGTCTAATTTGCTGGTTGACCTGTCTGTTGAGTCTCACTTGCCGGTTGACCTGTCTGTTGAATCTTACTTGCCGGTTGACCTGTCTGTTATCAGACTAACTTGCTGGTTGACCTGTCTGTTATCAGTCTAACTTGCTGTTGATCTGTCTGTTTTCAGTTTAACTTGCTGGTTGACCTGTCTGTTTTCAATCTGACTTGCTGGTTTACTTGTCTGTTGAGTCTAACTTAGTGGTTGACCTGCCTGTTTTCAGTCCAACATGCTGGTTGACCTATCTGTTTTCAGTCTAACTTGTTGGTTGATCTGTCTGTTGAGTATAACTTGCTTGTTGACCTGTCTGTTGAGTCTAACTTGCTGTTGATCTGTCTGTTTTCAGTCTAACTTGCTAGTTGACCTGTCAGTTGAGTCTAACTTGCTAGTTGACCTGTCTGTTGAGTCTAACTTGCCGGTTGACCTGTCTGTTATCAGTCTAACTTGCTGTTGATCTGTCTGTTTTCAGTCTGACTTGCTGGTTGACCTGTCTGTTATCAGACTAACTTGCTGTTTGACCTGTCTGTTATCAGTCTAACTTGCTGGTTGACCTGTCTGTTGAATCTGACTTGCTGGTTGATCTGTTTGTTGAATCTAACTTGCTAGTTGACCTGTCTGTTGAGTCTTATTTGCTGGTTGATCTGTCTGTTAAGTCTAACTTGCTGTTGATCTGTCTGTTGAGTCTAACTAGGTGGTTGACCTGTCTGTTGAATCTAATTTGCTGGTTGACCGGTCTGTTGAGTCTAACTTGCTGGTTGACCTGTCTGTTTTCAATCTAACTTGCTGGTTGACCTATCTGTTGTGTCTCATTTGCTGTTGACCTGTCTGTTGAATCTCTGTTGTTGGTTGACCTGTCTGTTGAATCATACTTGCTGGTTGACCTGTCTGATATCAGACTAACTTGCTGGTCGACCTGTCTGTTATTAGTCTAACTTGCTGTTGATCTGTCTGTTTTCAGTCTGACTTGCTGGTTGACCTGTCTGTTTTCAATCTGACTTGCTGGTTTACCTGTCTGTTGAGTCTAACTTAGTGGTTGACCTGTCTGTTTTCAGTCTAACTTGCTGGTTGACCTATCTGTTTTCAGTCTAACATGTTGGTTGATCTGTCTGTTGAGTCTAACTTGCTTGTTGACCTGTCTGTTTTTAATCTGACTTGCTAGTTGACCTGTCTGTTGAGTCTAACTTGCTGGTTGACCTGTCTGTTGAGTCTAACTTGCTGGTTTACCTATCTGTTTTCTATCTCACTCGCTGGTTGACCTGTCTGGTTTTAGTCTTACTTGCTGGTTGACCTATCTGTTGAATCTTACTTGCTGGTTGACCTGTCTTTTTCAGTCTAACTTGCTTGTTGACCTCACTCTTGAGTCTAACTTGCTGGTTTACCTATCTGTTTTCAGTCTAACTTGGTGGTTGACCTGTCTGTTTTCTGTCTCACTTGCTGGTTGACCTGTCTGTTGAGTCTAACTTGGTGGTTGACCTGTCTGTTTTCAATCTGACTTGTTGGTTGACCTGTCTGTTATCAGTCTAACTTGCAGCTGATCTGTCTGTTGAGTCTAACTTGCTGGTTGACCTGTCTTTTTAAGTCTAACTTGCTGGTTGACCTGTCTGTTATCAGTCTAACTTGCTGTTGATCTGTCTGTTTTCAGTCTGACTTGCTGGTTGACCTGTCTGTTTTCAATCTGACTTGCTGGTTTACCTGTCTGTTGAGTCTAACTTGCTGGTTGACCTGTCTGTTTTCAGTCTAGCTTGCTGGTTTACCTATCTGTTTTCTGTCTCACTTGCTGGTTGACCTATCTGGTTTTAGTCTTACTTGCTGGTTGACCTATCTGTTTTCTGTCTCACTTGCTGGTTGACCTGTCTGTTTTCAGTCTAACTTGCTGGTTGACATATCTGTTTTCTGTCTCACTTGCTGGTTGACCTGCCTGTTGAGTCTAACTTGGTGGTTGACCTGTCTTTTTTCTGTCTCACTTGCTGGTTGATCTGTCCGTTGAGTCTAACTTGCTGGTTTACCTATCTGTTTTCTGTCTCACTCGCTGGTTGACCTGTCTGTTTTCAGTCTAACTTGCTGGTTGACATATCTGTTTTCTGTCTCACTAGCTGGTTGATCTGTCTGTTGAGTCTAACTTGCTGGTTGATCTGTCTGTTGAATCTAACTTGCTGGTTGATCTGTCTGTTGAATCTTACTTGCTGGTTGACCTGTCTTTTTAAGTCTAACTTGCTGGTTGACCTGTCTGTTATCAGTCTAAATTGCAGTTGATCTGTGTGTTTTCAGTCTGACTTGCTGGTTGACCTGTCTGTTTTCAATCTGACTTGCTGGTTTACCTGTTTGTTGAGTCTAACTTGCTGGTTGACCTGTCTGTTTTCAGTCTAGCTTGCTGGTTTACCTATCTGTTTTCAGTCTAACTTGGTGGTTGACCTGTCTGTTTTCAGTCTAACTTGCTGGTTTACCTATCTGTTTTCAGTCTAACTTGCTGGTTGACCTGTCTGTTGAGTCTAACTTGCTGGTTGACATATCTGTTTTCTGTCTCACTAGCTGGTTGATCTGTCTGTTGAGTCTAACTTGCTGGTTGATCTGTCTGTTGAATCTAACTTGCTGGTTGATCTGTCTGTTGAATCTTACTTGCTGGTTGACCTGTCTTTTTAAGTCTAACTTGCTGGTTGACCTGTCTGTTATCAGTCTAAATTGCAGTTGATCTGTGTGTTTTCAGTCTGACTTGCTGGTTGACCTGTCTGTTTTCAATCTGACTTGCTGGTTTACCTGTTTGTTGAGTCTAACTTGCTGGTTGACCTGTCTGTTTTCAGTCTAGCTTGCTGGTTTACCTATCTGTTTTCAGTCTAACTTGGTGGTTGACCTGTCTGTTTTCAGTCTAACTTGCTGGTTTACCTATCTGTTTTCAGTCTAACTTGCTGGTTGACCTGTCTGTTGAGTCTAACTTGCTGTTGATCTGTCTGTTGAGTCTAACTTGCTGTTGATCTGTATGTTTTCAGTCTAACTTGCTAGTTGACCTGTCTGTTGAGTCCAACTTGCTGGTTTACCTGTTTGTTGAGTCTAACTTGCTGGTTTACCTGTCTGTTATCAGTCTACCTTGCTGTTGATTTGTCTGTTTTCAGTCTGACTTTCTGGTTGACCTGTCTGTTTTTAATCTGACTTGCTAGTTGACCTGTCTGTTGAGTCTAACTTGCTGGTTGACCTGTCTGTTGAGTCTAACTTGCAGGTTTACCTATCTGTTTTCAGTCTAACTTGCTGGTTGACCTGTCTGTTGAGTCCAACTTGCTGGTTGACCTGTCTGTTGAGTCTAACTTGCTGGTTTACCTATCTGTTTTCTGTCTCAATTGCTGGTTGACCTGTCTGTTGAGTCTAACTTGCTGGTTGACCTGTCTGTTTTCTGTCTCACTTGCTGGTTGATCTGTCTGTTGAGTCTAACTTGCTGGTTGATCTGTCTGTTGAGTCTAACTTGCCGGTTGATCTGTCTGTTGAATCTTACTTGCTGGCTGACCTGTCTTTTTCAGTCTAACTTGTTGGTTGACCTGTCTGTTGTCAGACTAACTTGCTGGTTGACCTGTCTGTTATCAGTCTAACTTGCAGTTGATCTGTCTGTTTTCAGTCTGACTTGCTGGTTGACCTGTCTGTTTTCAGTCTAGCTTGCTGGTTGACCTATCTGTTTTCAGTCTAACTTGGTTGTTGATCTGTCTGTTGAGTCTAACATGCTTATTGACCTGTCTGTTGAGTGTAACTTGTTGGTTTACCTTTTTGTTTTCAGTCTAACTTGCTGGTTGACCTATTTGTTTTCTGTCTCACTTGCTGGTTGACCTGTCTGTTGAGTCTAACTTGCTGGTTGACCTGTCTGTTTTCTGTCTCACTTGCTGGTTGACCTGTCTGTTGAGTCTAACTTGCTGGTTGACCTGTCTGTTTTCAGTCTAACCTGCTAGTTGACCTGTCTGTTTTCAGTCTAGCTTGCTAGTTGACCTGTCTGTTTTCAGCCTTGTCGACAAATCCTAACCTTCGTCAACTAATCTTGATTCAGATAAAGTAACTGTCCTTTTAAATTAGTTTTCGTTATAGGTAATCAGGTAAACAGGTCTTTGTAATAACCCTGAACACGCAATGTTGGGATTTGGTTGGTATAATCTACACCTCAATTAGGTTTAAGAATGCATATTTATACATTTGCCGTTTTTCTTGCGAACTTAATTATGTAAGTGGTTTAACATCACATGTCACCTCTCAATATCGCTGTTTAGTTTTAACCTGTGAATGTTTTTGGATGTGAAACGTGATCTGCCTGCCAAATTGTTAGCATTGCTCTTAAAATCAAAATTATATAAGCATCGATGTTTCAAAACGAATATTTCACTCGAATTAGTTTTTGTGTCGCCTGCAGAGCTGATGGACACTTAGGGATCACTTTGTCCGTCGTTACGTGGCGTCGTCGTCGTCCGTACGAAAGTTTTCCGGACTTTTTTTCGGTAATGCTTTGAGTTATCAAAATGAAATTTTGCATATGTTGCAAGGGTACAGATTAAGTTCGATTTCCGGCTGTCTGTGACCCTTTTTGGCAGAGTTATGCCCCTTTCAACTTAGAAAATTTCCTGGGAATATTGTTTTCCGGACTTTTTTGGCTTATGCTTTGAGTTATCGGAATGAAATTTGGAATCTGGCTTCTTGTTGCATGGGTACAGATCAAGTTTGATTCCTGGCTGTCTGTGACCCTTCTTGACTGAGTTTTGCCCCTTTGAACTTAGAAAGTTCTGTGGGAATATTGTTTTCTTGACTTTCTTTGGTTATGCTTTGAGTTATAGAAATTAAATTTGCTATATGCTGTCTGTGACCCTTCTTGGCTGAGTTATGCCCCTTTGAACTTTTGTTTTCCAGATATTTCCCAATTATGCTTTGAGTTAACATAATGAAATGTTGTATATGGCTTTTTGGTGGAAGATTACAGATTGAGTTCAATTCCCAGCTCTCTGTGACTCTTCCTGGCCCATTGAACTCAAATTCTTTGGGAATATTGTTTCCTGGAATTTTCTTGGTTATGCTTCGAGTTATGAAAATGCAATTTTGTATATGAATTCTTGGTCAAAAGTTACGCACCGAGTTCGCTTCTTGGCAGTCTGTAACCCTTCTTGGCAATGATATGTCCCCTTGAACTTGGAAAATTTCTCAGGAATATTGCTTTGCGCAGTTTTCCCTTTATGCTTCAAGTTATAGAAATGAAATTTGGTATTACAACTTTATGGTTGATCATTGCACATCCAGTTCGATTTCTGGGTGACCGTGACACTTTATGCAGGCGACACATACAGTTCCGAGGAACTCTTGTTTCTCTTTAAATATCTACCATTTTACTGTTGACGATTTCTGTCATCGCTCACATACAGGCATAATTGTGTATAATTTGTTAAAATTTCGAATATGCAAATGTTTAATATTCGGGAGCATAGATAACGTATTGGAGACGATGGACATCGTTTTTTCTGGTTCTGTAAGTGATATCAAGTAACGGATTTTTATCTTGGAATAGATTTTTAATACTCTAATCTACTCGATAAGGTAGATGGCATTTAAATGACAAGATTCAGAGTGTGAAAATAATTAAGTCATCTACATTGTCAAGTAATGGTGCTGGGTTTCTGGTGTGAGGGGAATCCGGTCCATGTATTGTTAAATAATATACATTTACTTAAATGTCTTAAAATATGAAAATACTAGAAAATAGAACATCATCTATTCGCCGACCAGAAATTGTAGATTGATAGAAGGACGATTTAATTATCATATCATTTGGATTTTATTAAACTTAATACATTCCAGTTTTGTTGTTTTCAAATTGCAGACTTCGTTCAAAACTGAATTCAATAGGGTCAGAATTTTTTGTTAATTTTTCATTGATAAACTTCTCAAGGAATTTTCTACCAAAAATAATCAATGATAATAATATGTGTGTCAGCGTTAAGTCTTTAAAAGCTTCTACACTATTTGGAATTTCCCCCTTCCTTTTTTTAATTTCAAGAACAAAAAACTACAAATCATTAATACGAATGACAATAAGTTGTTGATTTCCTGACATGTGTGATATTTTCAGTCTGGGACATTCCGGGGATTCGAAGACGCTATGACGGGGCCGACAGATCATACAGATCGGTAAGTAACGAAAGTCGCACTTATTTACTCTAGGACGTCACTGTACATCAATGAAAGTTGTAAATATGTTATGGATGGTGGGAACTGAAGATATAAGATTACAGACGCTACGCTCTTCCCTATGTCTTTGTCTTTGTCGTATATGTAAATAAGGTGGGATTATTTTTGCCAATGATTAATGCACGTTTTTGTTTCATCATTAGGATGAGTTCCGCGGATGGTAGTTTTGCTGGTTCTGAATACTCTAACTATGAACATCCACATGAACAGGGTTCACGAATCGCATCCAGTCGACAATCTACGTCTTATGAAGTTCACAACCGGCAATTACAGTCCGGTGTTAACAACCGCGGATCAAAGCGTCACGGTGTAATATTCAGTGAACCAAGCAATTTGTCCTTCCGACACCCAACTTTCCATGAACCGGAAGTAGATTACTAAAAGCTAACCATATCTTTTGTTATCTTTAGCATCTTCATCATGATCCTTTCATCTTTATTGTCGTCTGTGTGGATGTATGGAGTCAATTTTACAAGAGCATTACTATATTTTAAGAGAATATTTTCATCGGAACCATTTAAGGCGAATAGTTATAGAAGAAGTGTTTTTGTATATATTTTCTGCGGATCGGGTCGTGTTGATATTATAGTCAATTCTAACAGCCTCAAACCCCCTGCTTTTAATGTCACTTATCAGGGATATAGATAATGTTATTCGGTCTACCAAACTTCACTCGTAGTAGCCAGTACACGAATAAGGCCCCAGTCTCACGAATCTTCCTTAACTTCATGAAATCTTTACTACTATAGAAAAGCTTAATTAAGTTGCGGAAAACCTTGGATTTAAGCAATCTTTAACTTTTATAATGCTTTCCTAAGGGTAACTTTAAGTTAAGGAAAGTTCCTTAAATTATGTAATGCTTTCCTATGGGTAACTTTAAGTTAAGGACAATTCCTTAACTTATGTAATGCTTTCCTATTGGTAACTTTACGTAAAGTAAAGTTCTTTTAGGTTATGAAATATTTAGGAAACTGGTGCTGAAGTGATTCCGCTTCACACAAATCTCAGGTACAGCGTATTTATGTCGTGAATTAGCATTCCAGTAGGTCTCATCAGATGGAACATATTCACTCTGCCCTATCTTCAGACATAAAACATATGTGTTATATGTTTAATGTTAACATGCAATAACTCTGTCTGTACACCCCTTGACATTCACCTAGCAAAGTTCCCTTGCTCCCGACTAACATGTGCGTCACAGTTTCATGAAATATCAGCTGCCCTTCTTTTTCAATGACAACTAAAACGAAAAAAATGCACAGTAAGACAGACAGTAGTAACCAAAACCTATGTCAAATTAAGATTAAGTATTTTATTTCAAATATCTGGTATACCCATTGTTCCAGCCCATTCAGTCTACAATGATGTTGACATTGCTAATGCATTCTCACCGCAGCTTGAAGAAAGTTTACTGGCAACGGGGAGAAAAAGACTTTATGTAAGTTTGAAGAAAAAGAAACTTTGTTCAGAACCTTAGAGTAGCCCCAAATTAGACCCCTATACAAATAGTGAGAAGTAATTAGTGTATGATTTATATAGTTGATGACTACCGCCCCAGGACACATCGTGAAAAGAAAGAATTAGGAAAAATGGTGTTTAATTTATCATATTTTAACGTTTCTTGGAGCTATTTTCTCGTTATTTCTGAAGTTAAACATTGCTAATGTCAATATAATTCTGTAACAGTAATACTGTTCAGATTGTTATTTTCACTGGGCTCTGTTTTCCTTCGTTTTCAATTTTGAAGTACAACCGCAAAAATGTAGACAGTCGATAGACGAGTCACTGTATCCCTCGTTACTACAGCTTGATCAGTTCTTGATGATACAATGATTGTCATGTGGTACCTCTTTTTATTTCTTGCGTTTTATGTGTTGAACATAAAACTGTTTCATTCATTATAGTAGTATTGTAATAATAATAATAATAATAAGTTTAAGGTTTTTATTGGTTACTTTTGCCCTTTGACCTCAGAAGCTACCCGTTTTTACCCCACAGCCCGAAAGGGTGTGGGGTATTGCGATCACGCACGGCGTCCGTCCGTCCGTCTGTCCACAATTTCATACCGATTATTATCTCACATCAACATCACCGGTCATCACTATTTTCACGGGGGATGCTGGGCCTTGTTTTTCGTCCGGTTACGGCCGCCTTCTTGAATTTGCATTCCTTTCATCATCTCAAGAATGTCGGATGAGAACAAGAACTGAAACTTCCGTAGGTCCATAGGCCCAATATCTCCAATAAAAATGGAGATTCGCAGTGATGTGACATAATGAGCGGATTGCAAATGCCAACAAAAAATCTACAGGCTTATTTACGTCCATAGAGCCAAAATGCTCAGTGAAAATGGCGATCTCCGGTGATCTCATTCTTGAGATAACTTTCCACTCACCCCAACCACACATTTCCAACTTTATAATAAGGCTGTAGGGTATTGCCCGCGATTGCGGAGCTATTTTTTTTCACTGCATGACAAACTCGCAAAAAGAAAAAAATAAGGTTCATAGATCGATCCTTTTTAATCATGTTTTCCTTATTACCTGGTTACTATTGTCTAATGTCTTACTATTTAACTCAAACACACATCTCTCTCCTTTGTGTTGTATAACACTACCTCACAGCTTTGATAAAATACTTTAGCTTAAATTATCACAAACATTTTCATTTCTGGGGATTACTTTTAATAATGATTTTTGTGCTACTGTTGGTTTAAAACCCAACTATCATATTGAAATACACTTTTGCATCTTTACTAAACAAAATGTAATTATGATGTAATAAATGAAATTAAACCACAGTCATTGTGTGTTATTTTATTTATTTTATTTTTTTTTCACAATTTTTAAAGTTTGATAATAATTATCGTTACAACTAACTTCATCAAATCAAAACGTTATGAGGGAGACCGTATCGAAATCTTTGTTATCTAATAAAAATCGAGTCTGATTTGGTAAATATTCATTTCTTAATATTGGATCGACCTCTGCATCTGAATGAAATTGTGATATTTCAGCATGGAGACTTAATGATTTGTCTCTGGGAACTCTCGTTCACTGTTTTAAACTATGTATGTGTGTGTGCAAATCAAGTTCAATTATAACAAAATCATGTTCAATGTTTTTAGATAATTCTAAAACTTAAAATGGTGTCGGCCCTTTAGAGATGATTCGTTTGCGTCATGGAAATGAATCCAAGAAATAAAGATATATTTTCCCAATCAAAGACGCCATCTCAATACTATGACATCCAAATGTGATGATAAGGTAGGGGAAGCAACTCTTTCTTTTCAGAATAAATGATATATAATTTTGAAATGAATTCACAGGTAAATTTTGGCAAGTAATTCAAAACATTTGGCATATATGCTTATCCAACAATAAAGAATAATTAGTATAAAATTAACATTGTTATGGATTTTAAGTGTGTGTGCTATACATTTTTGAAGAAACACTGTGGGATATACAATATATAAATGTGATATTGATTTGGCTATGTAGCTGGTATGCAAATATCCATAAACCGTAACATTACCCATTTTCGTGACAGAAAGATAAAAAAAAACGAGAATGTAGTTTTAAATTCAAAATTAGTGTTGGGTACAAATTGGGTACAAAAATAATAGCTAAAACGTTTCTTTATTTTGATATGTTGTTTGACTGACAATGCTCTTTGGTCGGTTTTTTCTGTTGAGTAAGCATCATTTCCCAGGGGAAGTTTTTTTCTGTATTATTAATAATTAACTGTACTGAATAATTCGTCTAAGTTCAGTATAATTGTCACAAGATATTAAAAAAAAGAAATAGTGCATACTTTAAATTAATCTACATAATGGATTGTGCTCCAAATTTATTTTGTGTAATTGTTGTTTGAGATTACAAAATTTTAGCCGTAATCGTGTATAAAAATATAAAAATGTCCACTTCCAACGTCAAAATTCTGATTGCGGGAGCATTATTTTGTCTTTTTGGAAGAAACTTAATCACACAGACAGGCGGGGATTTACATGTGATTCGCGGGTAATGCATACCAGAATTGTATTGAAGATTTTAAAACGAGTTTATGTAAAATTGAGATTTATATTTAATGGTCAGTAACTTATTTAAATTTTTTTCTATAATGCGTCGGTTTAGCACCTGCCAGAAAGTCTATTCGCTAAATCCACGATGACATAACAGTACAAACCGTAATTCCATGAAATTATTTGTGGGCGTAATTATGAAATAAAAAAATGGAAACAGTATATTTAATTACTGATCAATACAGGACGTATAAAGCAATGAACAAACATAAAACATCCATTTGCTTCTTGCTGGTTTAACTCTGTAGTGAGGGGTCTAATGCATGGAAATCCAGAAAGATGGTTCGGAAAGGCTAAGTTCCCTAGAGATGTGAAAATAACAGTGCACTATCCCGATTTTGGAGATCGCCGGGTGAAAGGGGACTTTGGAGTGTTTGTTAAAATGTTCCAGTATTCGCAGGAAACGTGTCAGTATAACGACAAACTTACAGGATTGAGTCGATTTACCGCCAGAGTTTACAATCTAGAGTATTGAGGATATCAAATAATGATTTACATGAGACTAGCGCTTTTGTAATTCAAAACGTTGAAATGACACTCATTTGAAGAGTAATTTGTTCATTACAGACAAAAATATTTACAAACAGATCTAGCTCTACCGGACATTGGAAGTTTCAGATACAGACCAAGAAAATGACTTCCAGGTTGTGACTTACTAAAAACAGAATGGTATGAAATTGTAATTTTTGTGTGAAGAATACTTGCTGACTTTTACCTCTGTGGTAGTTCATACATTGACATATATGTACTGGACGTTTTATAAAATTACCTAAAATTGCCAGCAAAAAATTGTTACTACAAAATAAAAAAAAACCACTCATCACAAAATCACAAAAATGCTCACCATAAAAATCACAATAAATACTCGTCACAAAAAAATAACTCATTGCAAAATCACAAAAAAGACTCATTACAAAAATCACCAAAAAAACTACTGTAAAATCACAAAAACGACTCATTACAAAAATCACAAAAAAAATACTGCAAAATCACAAAAAGACTCATTACAAAAATCACAAAAAAATACTGTAAAATCACAAAAAATTACTGTAAAATCACAAAAAAATACTGCAAAATCACAAAAAATACTGCAAAATCACAAAAAAAGACTCATTACAAAAATCACAAAAAATTACTGTAAAATCACAAAAAATTACTGTAAAATCACAAAAAATACTGCAAAATCACAAAAAAAGACTCATTACAAAAATCACAAAAAATTACTGCAAAATCACAAAAAAGACTCATTACAAAATCTCAGATGGAAATCCCATGATGACGAACACCCATTGAGAATTAC